AAAAAAAAAAAAAAAAAAAAAAAAAAAAAAAAAAAAAAAAAAAAAAAAAAAAAAAAAAAAAAAAAAAAAAGGAGTTAAGTGGCAAAGCCACCAAATCTTGCGGAAGATTCGAAGATCCTGACCACGGTTAGCCATATACATTCAAATACGTTGGAGTGAGTATTTATAATATCATCACTCCTATTCCATCCAGAAGACTCAGAAACAAGCAGATGCCTAGTGCCGAGTAGGGACAGGTGCGTCGTCGTCAACCTTATCCCTCCCAAAGAAGGCACAGCGTGCAAGCCACTCAAGTCCCTCATCATGAAGCCGTTGTTCCCGTGCATTCAGATTACCAGGTTTCTTGTTCGGCAAGTTCAGCTTATGCTCTCGTTTGAGATGTCGGACCAGCTTGCATGGTTCATCGAAAGGAGTCTAAAGTAAAGAGAGTTAAGGTTAGTATTAATCACCAGCAGGTAGAAACTTCACACTGACCTTGCGCTGACACCCAGACCAGCGACAGAACACCTCACCTCTATAGATCACTGGATTCTCCGCATCGATAGCAGGCCACTCATCTGAGTACTGCTGGATCTCTGCATATGGAATGAATCCGTTTGTAGATCCACTTGCACTTGGAAAAGAGCGCTTCAGAGTGCGAGGAGGAGGACGGACATATCCAGGTTTCAGGCTGCATAGCCTGTCCTCGTGTTTGACACGAACGTCCTTCCGTTTAAAGATCTTGCCGCAGTAGCGACAAGTCCTTTCCTCCTCAGACACATTGCCATGATTGTGCTGTTTGTGCATGGTTAGATGAATGGACTTATCAAATCCTTCACCACACTTATCACATAAGTACTTGGCTGGCGCATCTTCGTTCAAGTGCCAGTCCGGGGGGGTGTTGCGGTTATGGGTCGTCTGAATGAGCTGGTTGCGTAAATCCGATAGGTTCTGCTTTATAATGCTGACTATCTGGATATTTTTCACAAACTCAGCTGTATCAAACGGGGCTTCATCAGTATCTATCTCACATCTTAGCAGCTTTATAGCTGCTTGAGCATCTGCTTCTCTGAAGACTCGTGGTACATCGACGAAGAATCTCAATTTTATTTCAATATCACTGTATGGTTTGAAGAGGTCGGCAAATACAAATGGATTTGTAAATATGCCGTCCCATCCATTCACAACCATAGTGACAGAATGGCTGGTTTCCCTGGCCTTATTGAGAATCTCTAACAGTCGAGTAACCATTTGTCCTCGAGGACGGAAATCCTCAGAAGACTGGATGAATGTAAGAAAGATTGGATCCTGAGAGAGCGTCCCATACGTCTTCTCATAAGCTCTTTGGGTGAACTGCAGGCTCTGCAGAAGGAATTCATGCGTCGCTTCAACAGTACGCCCATTGAGATTAGTAGAAGAACGGGCAATGAAGACCACAATTGGTTCCATGTCTTCTATTTCAGAAGAAAGAAACCCGAGAATTAATACGATTTCTTTGAAACGACACGGTAAGTATCTAGTAAAAGAAAGCAAATGTCCTCGAAGAATTGGGGTCTTGAGGAAAGGAAAGGAAAGAAGAGGAGGGGAAACGAAAACAGGCCGACTTGAGAAGTGTGAGCTGCGTGCCCGGGGGCCCGGGGAGGGGTGGGAGGGGTCGGCGTGACTCTTGTTGGCTTCTCGGAGTCCTCAGTACAAGAACACTATTCGGAAACGGCAGTGTATCTCTGAACGTCTACAGTAGTATAGATAGATGATGAATGTACTTATAGCCTGCTTCGATTGCAGGTATGCATTAGGATCATGGAACTGATCTACTCTACGGAACTAGCTGTTGTAATATATGGTTATGTTATCGACGCTATCGAAGCATTAGATTATTCAAATTATGGCTCTGGTCTGTGAGCTTGTTTGCAAAGACGGATTAAGCCAGATTAGAGAATCCTATGTGCTACTGAAACCGTAAGGCATCACTTCGAGTCATCTATATAGTACCCGACTGGGACGGTGTTACATGACGATACAAAGACTACATCCACTGGCTCCATGAGGATGACCGAATTTATTCTATCATTAGTGGATATAGTAATAGTACGACTGCGTTCAGTTCCTTCTTGTATGATGATCGACCGTAGTCCGCATTGTCTACGAATAAGGCTAAACTAATACTAGATCACAACTCCACAGATCCAGCGAGTTGTATCGGCCACAATATAGGATGGTTGCGGTCATCAGACGATGAGCCCTTTGAAGCCTGTCAAAGTCCGGACGGATTCATTTACCCTATGGGTTCAGATGGGAAACTGGAATGGTTTCTTCGAGTTTTGAAGCTGTAAGCACCCTAGTGATCAAATTAGATGGCTCTGTATCTAGAGTTTGATCTTGAAATGATAAATCGATGTAATCAACGCATCCATAATCGCATAGCTTAAGACCGAGGTATTTCTATTTAGCTGTCATCAAGTCTTCCAAAATACAGTTGGACCGTTGCATGATATGTGTACTAGTTCGGATTAAACTGTTATATAAATTATGTGTATTGAACGGACACTCATATTTGCGCTGTTTATAGTTTATATCAAATAATCGACAAAGTTATTATGTTCGATTAAGCTCTTGAAGCTAAGATGCTCTAAAAGAGAAGCGAGGACTAGTCTCCGTTGGTGGATTCGGAGATCTACACTCATCCGCTTCGTGGTGGGTTTGTGATACTATACACTCGCCGCAATGTTGATCTTATTGGACAGCGGCTTCGACAACGGGCACTAAGATATAGTAAGGTACTCAGGTACCATTTCTATATTTCTAGTTCTAAGTCGGATCTGACAGATAGAGATATCGTCATTTCTCCTCATTGCATATTAATGTCACATGAAGACTTGCAGATTACACAATGTATATATCTAGTCTTGGGATAAGTCCGCAATTAGTCGCCCAGTCCACATTCCAATGTTACATATGCATGGCGGCGAAGTACATACCACAGAATAACAAGCTTTTCTGCACGTGGTACATCATGTAAGCACTTTATACTATTGTTCAGATCTAGTGTATCCTATGCCCGACGTCCGAACGGTCCGATTTGAAGCCCTATGGAAAAAGTGATGGAGAAATATGCTTCTTCTATTAATCATATCGAAGTCGTAGCCTGTTTGTAAACCATCTATATCCACTGAGGCAATAAACCTAAATCAAGCCGGATTTGCACTTTACAAACCGCTGAGCGAAGTCCCGCGGTGGATGGAATAGGAGAACAAGGAACAGCTCATGCCTTAGGCATTGATCTCATCTGCGTAGCATAATGTATGTGATGCTAACACTGTATAGATAAGTGATACAGAACACAACTAATAGTACATAACCTGCTCATGATGAGCATGTCATCATCGCATCAGAGCAAAGTTGTTAATCTAGCTAGCGATACTAAAATCTGAGATCCTGCACTTAGAATCCTCGAGATCAAGAGCATCTACTTAACAGACGTCATACAGGCAAGGGTCATCTTGAATCGAGCTGCGTAAACTGGGAATAGGAACCTGAAGAGCAGTGAATGACTTCAGTTGATGTGGCTTCAATTGCAGGCATGAATCCGGTTTCTGGTCTCGTCAAATGACAAGACGTCATGTAGACTGAGCAAAATACCTGTTTGTTTTGGTCTGCTGACACGAGTTCGTGTAACGCGTCTCCGGTGTGAATACCTTAGGTGTCTACGTAGAATAAAACCTCTCCCCCCCCCGCTCCCCGTCTCTGAATTTTTTTCTTCACCACCACCACCACCACCTCCTCCTCCTCCTCCTCCGCATCAAAGTTTCTTTTTTCCACCAAAGCTTTCACTTACGTCAAGGCCTGTTTTTATCATGGCTGTAAGTAACGTTATGGGATCTTCATAATCACTGCTCAATGAATGTAATATAGGAGTGTGATACCTGTGCTGTTCAGAGTTGCCCTGGCGGCAAAGAATGTGCGATGCTGAAGAACCTCCTGAACCTCATTGCTGCGATGAAGGTAAGTCTATCAAAGACAAAACCACATCTTGACATCCTGGGTGATCATCTTCTGTGTGAGCATGGATACTAATAATTTGGTTTATACAGTTGAAGCCGGACGCTAAGAAGGACAAGACCACCAAGCCCCCCGCCACCAACGATAACAGCGCCACGGATACCACCAAGCCTCCTAAGAAGAGGCGTCGTTCAGCGAGTCAAAAAGAGAGATCTCGAAAGTTCTTTGAGAAAAAAATAAATGAGAGAAAAGCTGCTCGAGCAGCTAAAAAAGAGACCACCAACTAGTTTCCTTTTCTTTACTTGATGTAATAAGTGGTTCTCTACTTTTATTGTAATACAACATGATCTTTCGTCAGTGACTTGTCTTCATCTTTCGTAGCTCTATAGGTAGTCACCTGGACGTAAAGATCATACAGAGTAAATACCTTCAGTCGATTGTCATCAAGGAGCGCCCAACTGCACAGTCAGTATGCTAAGCTTTTCCTTAGTGAGATGGCACACACAGTATATTGCACTACTCGAAGCTGGATGGTCACTGTTAAGCTGAGTATTAGGCTCATGGTTTTTACAACGCAGTAGTGTCTACTTTGTTCTTTGCTTTTTCAACAGAAAGATTCTAGTTCTACGAGCCTTTGCAACTGGCATCGCTTCACACATCTTCGGATCACCTAGATTAGGTATCTAATTGAGTGTTGCAGAGTGACAATCTCTCCGTCTGCTGGTTTTCGGTTCGAGAAATAAGGAGTCGGATGGTTATTATCAGGCTGAGGCTCGCGGTTATCAGGGTGATAGTCCGTTCGGTTTGGTCTTCGCTTTTATTGTGAGAGTGATTATAGTTCTTGTGAGCCTTTGCAATTGGCGATTGCTTTATCTACCTTCAGGTTGCTGACCGTTCCTATTCATAGAATCAAGGATGGACTTCCCCCTTTCGGATCGGTACGTCTTTTCTACGGGACATGGACATCTCATTTCGCAAATGGTAATCACTCAGATTCCGCCATGTTGACTTGATCAGCTTCCAATATGGAAGAAAAAACCGAGGAGTCTGTCATCCAGCTAGATTCCATACTACCATTACGGGGACGCAAGTATGAGGTACGCTTCGTTGTTGTACTAGGAAATAAGGGATATAACAGTCATATTCGTCTACACGCGCACACTCATCGCAGAAATTGGGATGTCAACTCTGGCTGGAGGCTACCGAGCCTCCCGCAATTTCCGGGCCGATTAATTTTTCGGGTTTCGGCTCAAGTGCAAATTTCGGGTCCGTGATGATGGATTTCGATGGTTCTTTGCATTTGTGGCTTCCCTCACAACCGCTCTGTCACTCGAGTCCTCAACCTTGATGGTGAAATTCAGTTGCTGCAAAAAGGCATTTTGCAAGCCGTCGCCACTTCTAGTAGGAAACGAATTAGTATCTCGCAGTGACAAAAGAGACACTGGACTTGGGAGACCATTTACTGCAGGCTTTGTGACTCCTGAGTCCACAGCTACGGAGGTGATTGTCACTGGTCAGTCGTAGTGGACATATTCCAGAGCTGGAATGCCTGCTGGTTAATCTCTCAATACCGACAGTCCCATAATCAAGCGCGAGAGCCTTGTGCCATCTCGAAATGCCATGATAAGAAAGACACTGGCTTCTGTAAGGACAAGTTCCTCTCCAGAGTGCTATCAATGTTGATTCAAGTATTCCATCTAAGCACGAATCATTATTTCACCAGGCCTGAATCTCGTTGATGAATGATGGCCGGTTCAGAAGCGAAGTAAAGCTCGTTCCAATTCGACGCCGCAGAGGTGTTGATATCAAGAAGCGTTCTGTTCAGGAGAGGTAATGAGCGAGATGGAAGCAGAGCAGCATCAGAGGGGGTGTAATATACAGTATTATAATCCAAAGCCCGAAGACGCAGAGTTGGCTTCCTGAACTTAAAGGGCGATTCGGGTTCGAGGGTACACGACTATCCGCCATCACTAGGATTATTATCAGCATACATACTTCATAATTCTTCTCTCTCACTTACCTGGGTAAAGAGGACCAAATTTCTTGGTGTCCTCTTGGCTTCTTCATCCAGTTTGTCAGGACAATATGGCTAAGGATGCTCATCTCGTGCACAGAATGGAGACTTGGGTCAATACCGCGAGGAATAGGACAATCTCATCATTCGAAAGACATGCCGGATCATTGACACTCATAGGATGTCACGTGTGGATGTGAGTAATATACAGGTGCACTCCATGTCTGTAAGTAAAACTCACTGTTCTTCAGTATCACTTATATATCAAGTTACTCTCTGCTCACATCGTACCTCGTATGAGATTTACGCACCTCCACATCACTAATACAGAAATAGATATATACTATCTACCCGATCAAAATGATACGCACTATCGTTTCATTTTCTGGTATCAAACGCAGCAATGTCGCAACCGCCACTCACTGTAAAGTTGTATGTCTCGACAAGTTCACGTTTACTGTGTACGTGCTGACTCTGTGTTGACTAGGTGGCGACCGGTATGGCTGTAACGCGCACGATCTCTCCATTACCATCCAATAGTATAAGGTACTGACTTCTTCGACCGAGCAATCGATTAGATCTGCTGCCATACAGTCCGAAGCTACGGAAACTCTCCTTACCCTTACCGGTGCCTTCGCAAACGCTGAACTGGTCCATATATCCCAGGACGGGATAACGCGCAAGCGGAAGTTTGGAGCTTCTTTGATAACGTTTACAAGGCCGCACGATATGACCAATTCTTACCGGGACGCCATTAGATGGGCCATATCAGATAACATCGGCCGGGGCGTCTGTCGACGAATGGGCAGACTACCAGTCTGTGAAATCCCTCCGGTATTCAGAGAAGATCAGAAAATCACCGATCCAGTGAGTTTCTGACTGCTACTTAAACTCGTTCCTAGTCACTGACTAATCCCGTCCCATTTAGACATTCGAATATAACCACTATTCGGTCAGATAAATTCCTGCCAAGAGACGCCTCATAGCTCAGTGGGTAATGAGATGCTCCACCGCATCGTGGATTACCAAGGGGTGAACCACGTGTACCCACCGATACCCACACTCTCACTCCGACACCAAAGCCCTAAGTCTTCCGGACGGTGATTGACAGGAACTTTAAGACGCTCTTAATATCCCTCCTAAAATCAAACACAGCATGTTGATGACTGCCCTGAGGTATAACTGGGTTGTGCTCTCAATAGCATCGTTAGCAAGACTCCGCTAATTAGACGCCAGATACCGAAATCCAACACCAAGAAGATCCAAAAACAACAAGAGGAAAGACGCCAGCGAAGGTGATACATACAGACACACATTTCAACTGATTCTCCTAACCTTCGACTTGGGTATCTATTAGCATGGTATATTCAAAAAGCATGTCGGGAGAGCTGGTGGCTGCCGCATCTGATGTGCGCCATGAGCTAATCTTTTGATGACAAGGCGTAGCTTTTAATAGACCATAGGACCAACCCACCTCTTATCCAACAACGACAGCAGTGTATTACTTTGGTCAATGTCAATTGACCCATGGAGTGCATGTTGCTGGCCAAGATGCTTGATCAGAGAGACGCCTCTTTCGATAGCTGTGATGGCTGGCAATGCGGAAGTTATCGAGTTTCGGCTTTACACAGAACGTGTTTTGCGTCAAACAAAGGGAACTAATGAACATCCGCTTCACGTCAATTCCTACTTTAGCTATGTTGGATTACTCTTCAGATATTGTTATGCTCGTTTCCTGCGCTGGGTCCGGACCTAGACCTTGCCCGTAATGAATCAACTATGTACTCGGACACAGTGTAACGGCGGTCGTTTCCAACCAATCTCCAACCATTGCTGTGGAATGTTGACTCATTTACAATAGGCGCCTTCCATTTTTATATTCACTAATATTTGATTCTCATGACAGTCATAGAGTTGTATTCACTCATTATAAAGAGGTTGAGTATTCACTCCGTCATAAGAGACCGAACCGGCTCAGATCTTGGACGGGTCCAAGCTATTCTCTGAAACCAACCAACCCAGTATCACATCGCTACAGTTCCCTGTTGCTTCTACTTTCCCTTTGGTTACTGCATGCGTTATAGATAAGAAGAATACCATCATGTGTTTGATTCCATCGTTTGTCCCTCCATCTATTTTATCCAACTGCATCGGAGCACATATGGTTAGCGAACTGAACCCCTTCGGGAGCGTTCAATCGCGGACAACAAACGAAAAATTAGTTGCTTCGAGATATGAAAGGTATGTAGATCTCTGGATTCGAATGACTGCATGAGCTGATCACATTCAGCGCCGACTAGGGCCATATGTGGACGACTACCGATCGTTTATAGGATCATAATGGCAGGAGGAGCCTTCAGTTTGCGGAAGTTAATGGCCTCTGAGTCTGGACTTCGGGAATTTCCCCCTCGTCCTGCGCAAAAGGCTCGCAGGACTAGAAACCCTCCTTTCAAAGGGCGAACCAGGAGTCCGAGGAGAAGTCCCATAGTTATACCACCAGACTCAATGACACTGGCTTATGTGCGCACCATTGTTCAAATCCCTTCTGCTCCAAATACATCTCTCATTATTCAGTGTCCTCCTATATCGGTACGTGCAGTCATTGCCCCTCCTGCACATGCATGCGCTGCAAGAGGCCCGCGCACAAGGGTGACTGCCCTGACGAAGACGAAAAGCTCCTCCAACTGGCCGAGCGCGAGGGTTGGCGTCGTTGTCTTCAGTGCCGAAACATGATAGAGCTTGGAACAGGCTGCAAGCACATCACGTAAGTTTCTTAGTTATCTTCATGCAAAATCCGACTCTAACCGTATAACATTCAGCTGTCGGTGCGGTGCGGAGTTTGGCTGCACCTGCGGTACGAAATGGCGCCAGTGTCGATGCGAGCTTTGGGACACGATTGAGAAACTACTCCTTCGCATGGACACATACAGGCTGAACATACTTGGACAATCCAAGTCCATTGGATCACTTCCATATGCAAGTCCAATTCGGAGGACTGGGGTGGAATGCCCTGGAGGTAATACTTTATTACCACAGTGTCTGTGGGAAGTCCATAGACAGACTGTTTAAGACCCGCACATTTCTCAGCACAGCTGGATTTCCGGATTTTTCAACCAGCACCGCTGGCCTTTCGTCTCGACAGATGGTGGAAGGGAAATGGTTCTCCCGCGTTCAATCCAGATATTCGGGATGAAGATCCACCAACGCTTACCGACAATTATATTTTCCTCGGCGCCGCGGTTGAGTTCGGAGTGGTTAACACTGGGACACAGAGTCCCGTAGTTATACCACCAATTCGACCATGAGTCATATGGATCGCTCCTCGTTATGCTCGGTCCATGAAAGCCTTCAATCTAAAGCGACTCATTGCACTGCAGGTAAGCCCCATTACATTGATACTAGATCTCTTCTGATACTGAAATGTGCACTCGCCATCATAGGTATTATAACACTGGGACACAGAGTCCCGTAGCTATACCACCAATTCGGCCACTCGCCAAAACATACACAGGAGAGTGCTCATCTTACAAAACTACCTATTGAACGAATGATCGTTATTGGCGAAAGAAGTAATCGGTGCTGGGATTTTACAGCTCTCAGGGACGCTGCAGTGAGCAACGGTAGTAGAGAAAGGCCGAGACAGCCTCTCTGGAATTCAGAAGGATGCGAAGGAGGTAATTTGATTTGAAGGAATGTTTTATTTCATGTTGTATCCCTGCTGTATTGTCCCTACTACTACTATTCCTAGCTAGAGATGGTCGTCTAGACACCTTTTTGGCTGAGTGGTCTGATATATGACAATTTCATGTGTTGAAAGACTCATACTCACATACTTAACGAAATCAATCTAATGAAGAATTGAAGACAGGTACAATGAAGGGACTGCACAATACGTATAATGCCTATCTACTACTAATATATATGTATCATAGAACGGCATGGTCGCATGAGGTGTCATTTCATCCTTACAGTTACATTTTCCAGAGATGAGGACATTTCCATAGTAGTACCAGCTCTTGTTTTGTGGTGGAGAGAGAATCGTCAGTTAAAACTTTAGCCTCAATAATCCCGCACTTGAGATCATATCATCGCAAATCGCAATCGTTTTTTACCTGAGTTTTCCATAGAATTCTAAGTATCTATCATTTGTTTCGGTATGCAATATCTTCCTACTATAGTACCTCTCCTATACTGGGCGCTCATGTGCTTTTATCCAGTACAGTTGAGAGAACTGTCAAATCTTTTTCGTTGATTATCTGGTGGCAGCCCTCCATGTGCATCGTCATCTGCATCTGCTGTGGGTTGCATTTTTACAGTGGTTCAGTAGCCTCTCTCTGGATGTTGCTGATTTTATTATCATCTCCGGATCACATTCAGTCCATCAGACCATCCGTAAGCTGATGATCTCCTGCCGAAATCTACAAAGACCATACTGACCTTAACTGTTCTACAGACTACAGACTCAATGCCCTGATCAGCGTGACGGAAATCAATTCGCTCTATGATTTTATCAAGCATCAATTCTATTTCTTCGTTTTCGACTTGAGATTTTGATTTCTTCTCATCGTCTCTATTATTACGGACACGTCAATCGCCAACACCTGGGTTGAATATACAGTTTGTCAATCGCATCGCGCCCCTGCCCAAGGGACCATGTCGAACCTGTTCTGTTTGGAAGCTACTTGCACGCGCATATTACGAGTAAACCTGGGACAAATAGCAGCACTACGCCTACGACGTCCTTGTTTACAGGCTTGTACGGTGGTAGTAATGGGTCAGCTTCTGTGAGTATCTCTGATTGAGATATCTGTTTCTTACAATTGTATTGTCGTTGCTGACATGTAAAGAAAAACACCAAGAGAAGAGTACCAATGGCACAAGAATACGCCCACTAGGCACGATCACGGATGTCTCCCATGGAGGCTATAATATAAGGGTGTATCTCGACAACATGAGATCCAAACCGTCCCAGAATTCGCTATTGATCAACGACCATTCTATTCCTTGATGAAATGGTTCCGGCAATGCTACTTGGCAATGTATCATATACCTCGATGATGAAACGATCCGACATATCAATCCTCCAACAGGGTTCTAGGCCGTTGTCCTCTCGCACTTTGCGGCTACGGCGTCTCGAAAGCCAACTGGGACACGATTGGTCAGGCAAAGCTGACAGAACCAGCCGGTTGAATACGCATCGCGAAATACTAATGATGTGAGCACTGAATTCCATCACAGACAAGCCGAAGTGGGACAAGAAGGCGCGTAGTCCATACGATCGACACACTCATACTGACTTGTTCAGATGTTTAATGCTAAAATCACTGCCAAGTGGAGCTAAGGAATCCAGGATATAGGGGAAGATATCAACGAGCATATGCTAGACTGGATCATTGAAGAAGTGCAGTGGAAAGCCACCATCTTCCCAGATGCAAAGCACATTGTCGCATACGACGTAAGTGTGGTTAATTCAGACGTTGCCATATCGGAATAAATACGATAGGTTCTCGTCTCCATCCAGACCTCCATAATCAACACCATGCCTACCGAAACTCTGTAACACTTCCTTTCCCAAGGTCCATCTCCTCACTTCAGCCTGCCCTTGCTCGCAGACGACCAGACAGCTGGCTCCAAGTCACCAGGGGCTGTTTCTTCTCGGACAATCCATGTCTCAAATGCAGATTGGTTGAATCTTCCTTCGGAGCGGAAAGATGACGAGATCACTGCCTTCTTCCCTCAAGTTTTCAGAGAGATCTGTGAAGAGACGGATACCCTCCAAACTGCATCCTTCCCACAATCCAACCTCTCAAACCGACATCCTCAAAATGGCCAACGCAGAGAAAGAACGCCAGAAGATCCTGACCACCCTCTCGCACATCTTCTGATCCAATACCGGCGTCTCCACAGGCATCACCCACAAGCCCTACGGCGTTGACTGGATCAATCTCGAAAGAAACATGTACCGCCTGTGCGTTCCTCAAGGCAAGGTCCGCGACGGCGACAAGGTCCAGAGAGGCCGTCCGTCCACTAGAGGAGATCCCCGAGGAGCAATGACGCCCATTCAACTTTGTCCCCCTTTCCACGATGAATGCCATCCGCCTCTGCCGTAATCGCTGTGGCTACTATGACGATGCCACGGACCCGTTGTTCTTTCTCCTACCCAGTGACCCGAACCTTTTATCCGCTCCCGAAGTTAAAGGGCGATTCGGGTTCGAGGGTATAGGACTCTCTGCCATCACTAGGACTGGATCAGCATGCATACCCAATAATTCTTCTCTCTCACTTACTTGGGTAAAGAAGACCAGATTTCTGGTTGTTCTCCTGGCTTCTTCATCCAGCTTGTCAGGACAAGTTGGCTAAGGATGCTCATCTCATGCGCGGAGGCATCTCTCCCAGTTCATGGTCTTTGCCATGTTGAATGGCCATTCGAACCAGATATGACCGTAAGGGGACTCCAGGTGAATGTTTGTAGGGGAGTTATTCGGCAACTTCATATCGGTGCGATCAGGTAAGGTACCCTTCGATATCAACTTGACATAATACCACTCAACTGTCAGTCTATGCTTAATGTATTTAAAACTTTTGAGATATGACCAGAAAAAGAGGACATACCATATGCGTGTTCTCTGGTCTCGGGCGACATGACGAGGGTATCGAGAGGGAATCATTTACCCTTATATGGGGAATTGACCGGAAGACGAAGTGTTTGAATCTGACTGCCGTTGGGAGGTTGTTGGCTAGTATCGAAAGGGAACCAGTGCCCTTGACTGGGAATTGTTAGAAGAGAGAAGAGATGTAAGGTAGAGAAGAGGAAAAGAGTATCTAATTACCCTTGGTATGTTGTTGACTAGTGAAATAATTCAGACTAACATAATTATACAGAGAAAAACCTCAGGTAAATGTTCCTTCGAGTGTGTTGATCTTGATCAGTGTCCCTGGCAAGAAGTACGTGCTATTAAGTTATAGCTCTGACATTACATGGTAACTTCAGCCAAAATGATCCTAAGGGAAACAAAAAAAAAAAAAAAAAAAAAAAAAAAAAAAAAAAAAAAAAAAGAGAGGGAAAAGAGAGAAAAGAGAGAAAAGAAAAATGATCGACAAGGCAGGGATTCGAACCCTGGTTCGCGAACGAATTTGGTCACTGGCGGTACAACCCCAGTAATGGCTTACTGTAGTTGTACCACCATTTCGAGCCAAACGCCTTAACCTCTCGGCCACCTTGCCTATTTTGGATAGGTATCGAAGAAGGAAGTTTATGAGGAGCGCTAGCCAGGCCGAGTGAGTATGCCTACTATCTCATTCGACGAATCGGCAAGGATCGCTGCTACCCCAGTCATCAGACCATGTTTGTTACCGCGACCATGCATGTGAATGAATACATTATCGAGCGGTACCGTGCGCTAGGCTACACAGACACCAATATTGCAGCTCTGACATCGGCGCAGATGGCTCTTCGCTTTCAGGTGCGCAGTAAATTCAGCGCATCTGCATTTCCATGGATCCAGGAGTCGATTGAGGAGACGCGTGATTGGGAGTTGTATTCCATCTATCAGGTCTGGCAATGGGGGAAATGGCATATTAACCGTGCTCTGCTGCTCGGGGATGCCACACACGCAGTAAGTATAAGTAGCATCTTTTCATGGTCAGGATAGCACTGCTAAATAATCGAAGCACCTCCAGAATCAAGCTTGGCTTAATGCATTCTCCCACACAAACCGATTTAGCTTCAGCATCATAAACCCATACATCCACCAATACAATGCAGAATCCAAGCATCCCACCGCTCTTGCCTTTGGTGCTTGCCGTGGTCTTGAAAATGTGGTCAGACGATCTGTCATGGGGCTCGGCTAGCCTAGAGAGGTAGTGGTATAATGCAGATTCTAGGCTTCATCATTGTGACCTTTTTGGCATTGTGGATAGTAGGTTCCTAGACCCTACCTTCTTACACGATCACTGGCTGTGAGCCAGGCGACGTCAACGCAAAATCAGCTTAATCATACTAATTAGTGATAAACAGCTCCCAGCAGCTCCGAGTCTGACAGCAATGAGGAGATGGAGTCCACCAGCTCCAGCAGTGAGAGCGAAAGCGAGGAGGAGAAGCCTACCAAGAAGGAGGTGAATCTTCTTCTTCTGAGTCCGAGTCGGAGTCTGACAGCGATGATGGAGATGGACGACGCTTCCAGCGGCGAGAGTGAAAGTGAGAGCGAGGATGAGAAGCCTGGAGGGACACCAGGAAGGAGTCTAAGAAGGTTGAATTCAACCTCTTCCGATTCTGAGTCCGAGTCCGGGACCGAGTCGGAGTCTGAAGATGAGAAGGTCGTCAAGAAGGAAGTTAAGGCCAAGGCTGACACTTCCGAATCCTCTGAGTCCGCCTCCTCTGAGTCCGAGTCCGAGTCCGAGTCCAACTCTGAGGGCAAGGATGAGACGCCTGTTAAGGCTAAGAAGGCTGAGAAGGCTGAGAAGGTATGTACCTATGCCTTGCAGTGTTTATAATTGTGACTGACTGTCTCAGGAATCTTCCGAGGAAACTGAGGATTCTGATGAGTCCGAAGACTCTGAGAGCTCTACTCCGACTCTTCCGAGTCCGAGTCTGAGTCTGAGAAGCCCTCCAAGAAGCGCAAGGCTATGCCTCTCAGTTGCGCACTGGAAAGCAAACAAACACGAGTGATCGAGCTTCCACCCGACGCGTATGGTGCCGATATTGAACAGCACTGTTGCAAATCGATGACGCCACTGAACTATGTCACTGGTCTGGGAAAGCTAGAATTGATCAAACTACTTGTTGACAAAGGTGCGAGCATACACGTGGGGGAACAAATTGGTCCCAGACCACGTCGTCCGTTGAGTGTCGCCTCCGCGCTCGTTGTGCGAACCTGTACGTTTCGATCGCTTCCATGTTCTATTAACAAGCTAACATTGGAGCTGACTAGGTAGCTCCGGAATGGCGGGCAAAGCCCTTGTTTGATTTATCTCATCAAGACATCGTTTCTACGGCGAGGTATGCATCCAGAGCTCCTAGTCTAGACAGAGTCCTGGTAAAAGCAGGTACGGCCTCTTCAATACCGATATCCAGAGCAAAAGACTGAGTAAGCCCTGAATACCTGTGCTTGGATGGACCGCGGCAATACATGGTTCTTACCATCTCAGTAAGAATGGGCCCTGGGATTTCTGTGACGACCTATGCATTACTATTAAGCACTTGTTGAGCCTTGTAGCTGTGGTTAAGCTAGCGGCGTTTTGCTATCATAAATAATGGTCCTACTCGGAAGAGCATTCCCGCTTACACCACATTAAAGAATATCCTCTATATTGCTGGCCTGGTAATACGAGTATGTATAGCATGTCTACTATGTGTGTTTTTTCTCGAGAGAAACCCTCCGCCGCCGTCCTCCGGTTCGAAAATTCATTTCTTCCTCATACTATCGCTACATGTCTTCATCGGAGCACCACTTCCACTCTACAAACTACCTTCTTGCAAAAATCTACATCATATCACTCAATAAAGCCTTACAAATTCAAGTCTACAATCATGACCTGCAATACATGCCAAATCACAACGGTGCCCCGACGGCAAGGTGGTTTACTACCAAAACCTGCTTCATCTGGATACTTTCCTCAGGGTGAGCCTATCAATGCCAAAGTTATATCTTGATGCACTTTGAGACCCTGATTTTTATCATGCATTGACATCTTCGGTGATCGTCGTTTGTGGGAGTGCGGATACTAATGTTGTGCTTTATTCAGCTCAGACTTGCCTACAACACCACCGACACCACTGAGAAGAAGTATCAGCAATCTGAAAACAGAAAGCCTGAAGGCCAAGATGGACAAGGGAAAAGCTACAAAGGCAGTAAAGATGGAGAAAGCTTGATCTATTCATGGTTGTTTGTATTTGCCAACCACTTCACATCGTATTTTGATATTGAAACCACACTAATATTGTATGTCAAGGATATAGTCACCTTATTTCATTCCATGTGTATGGAACAACCTCTATTGTGATCCCCTCATCATACCCATATCCTCATCGAAGGGTCTACGGAGGTATAGGTGGACGCCGCCGAAGCCAGACTACTAAAGCTATACCACGAGATCAAAACGATAGCACAACTGCATCTATCCCTATCCATCCCAAAGCCACCAAAAGAACGAGGAAGACTTGTCGGTTCTCTGAAGGCGCGGGAGGAGACATGGGAATAATGTGATCAACGACAACCTCAATTTGTCCAACATTCCGTGGTATACTTGATTTTGACCCAGGTTTGGGCTGGACAGCAGCAATGCAGCACAAAATCATTAAAGCCCTCCTCGTTCTCGTGKATAGCTTCGCGAATATCGAACAGTCTCATGTCGTCAAGCATGATGTAACGAACAAGAAGAAGAAGAGACGTATGTTAGTGCGTTGTACCATGTTCGTTTAAAAGCCTTTCTACTAACATTGTGAAGACCTCACAATATGCTCAATTCCTGTAGGGACGTCATACGGAGCTAAGCCATATTACATACGCTGTGACTGTGGACAGAGTATCCTCATACCAACCCCCTTATGCTCATGCCTGGGAATCCGAACTATATTTCCTGAACTGCTGCACTTCAATTTTTCATCAGTGCAATCAAGACGACCGGCATCTGATTTTATATCAATGAGACTGGCACCACCCGTGGTCTTCCACCCCTTCAGGAAATCGAAAGCCCATATGATATAAACACCTGCAGGACGCCCCATGATATCACGATATCAGCCGCAGTTTGCGTCCGGTTCCAATAAGATGTTATTCCTGTCAGGACCATCATCTCGTATGACAATGATGGCAGTCTCTTTCTTCGTTGAACTGTTATCATGACGTCCGGTAATAGAGGCGTGCCTATGATGCGGGTGTGGTCCTTTCGGATCAATGGAATATATCGCCAAGTATTTTCCATACATACAAACAGTCCGTAAAAATGTAACCGGCAGATTGGTTTGTCGAGCTTCGGAGATTTGCTATTCAGGACAGAATCGACTGCGGAGTATCCAACCGATTGAAGGAGACATGGCACAAAGGAAATGGATCGTATTTGATCATCTCATCTCAAGCTTGGATGGGTTTTCTTATGTGTATTTATGCTCCATTTTGGCCAGTAATATCATCGAGTGGACAAAAAGAGCGCTCAAAATCAAGACCATCCATACCCACTCCGAAAAAGGACAGAAATCAGACGCACAAATACTATCTCAGGGCTGCATAAAATCCACAAGGTTACAAATTCGGATGAGAAGCAAGGTTATCACGCTGCTAGAGAGATTCGAGCCCACAGAACACAACAATAGCACGAGCATCGTGTTGATAAGAAAGGATGACTAGAAGCGAGGCGCGAAGTGATTCTCAGCATCGATAGCTCTGTCGACCGCAGCAATTAGTCATTCGACAGATAGTTTTGTAAGATGAGCCCTTCTCCCGTGCATGCTTTGGCGAGCGCAGGTTTCAGTGTAAGAAGAGAGGCAGCGTTTACACATCGTGGCTTGTTAGCAGTGCAATGAGTCGTTTTCAATTGGAGGCTTTCATACACATAGCGTAACAACTATCCATACGATTTGTGGCCTTAATTATATCCCCGAGGTGAAGAGAGTCGCAGCTGTCGAAATCGAATCCATACATTTGGATCATAACACCCTTCCAGTAGAACCCGCCTTCTAGTGTTGGAATCAAAGATTATCAAGCCTCGGTGGCAGCTAGCAGGGTCAGGGAACGTCCCGCAAGCTAGGGAGATGACCAGTGTACGCCGTAATCCATCCGAATTCGAACACGTCCTATCACAAGAGAGTACCGATACTAGCAGGCGTGGAGGCAGAGGCAGAAGAGGCAGAGGTCAGCMTAACACACAGGAAGATCGTCAGCAACGTCAGCAAATAGCTTCAAATCAGGCCCCTGGCGCAGAGAATCAGCAGAATCAGGCACCTTACATACCTCAGCCGGCGCGGCAGATTCCGAGAGGGCCAGGATGCTGGGATCCCTCAGGAGATGTCGGGCGTACTTGAATTTTGAAAAATGCGATCTGATTGGCTGAGAAATGTACGTTCTAACGTATTCGATTAGCAATTTGAATGATAGGAATGCCCACGAGCGATTTTTGTATGGTAAATCAGTATGAATTCAAAGTTCGAAGTTCCTGCCTTATGATAAAAAATTACCTATTTAGGTATAGAAGTGTGGCGTTATCCAGTCCCTAGCTATAAGCAACAAAATCTCCTTACGCTTAATAGGAAGGATACGGCCTCTTACGCACAATTTGAAGAGCTTCATCCCAATTGCATGCCTCAATAAGGAGGTTATATCCACTGCGGACATGGGACGTTTGGCGGATAACAGCACCAGCCTGGTTAATGACACCATCACATCGGCCACACTTGTGCCAGCCTACCTTCGCTCCACCTGGCTCCCAGTTCACAGAACGTGTGCGCGTCAAGCGATTCAACGATGATTCCGTACTGTGAGTTTATATTACAAGCCAATCCCCTGCTGTCGTCTACAGGGGAGGCGGTGTATTGGATCGAGTCTTTTGCTAACATACATGAGCAGCAGGTTGCGGAACTAAAAACCGCACAAGAGCGACAGAAGTTCGCGATCGATGCTAAGTATCGAGCATTCTCTAAGTCGATCGCACAAGTCATGTCTGAAGTAACTGAGCATCGGGACCTTATCTTTGTGAATGAGCGGTGGCATCTCGACACGGGCCGGAAACTCGAAGAGGCTCTTAACTCCAGCTTTGCTAAGCATGTGCATCCTGATGATTTGAGATAATCGCAGCTCGCTTTCCGTTTACATTGCAGATTTGCGAATATGAAACGCCCACCGACTCTACTGAGAAGAAGGACTGTGCTGAAACAGAGAACGCAGGATCCCAGGGGCGACACAGTTGGCATGCAAGTATCATCTACACCTCACTACGCTACACATAAGTGTATTTCGTTGCCATGGGAATCTGCTGACTCTCAGGCTTTTACTTAGGGGCTACATGGCTTCATTATATCCTTCGTGAGGCTGGTCCTTCGTCGTCTGAACGCCGTGATCATGCTATGGAAGATCAAAAACAACTCATGACCACGCATAAATATCCTTCTCTAAGCCAAATACAGTATTTACGCAGAAACTAAGGGACGATGCACTATCGCGAAACTAGGAGAGTCGCCTGAGGTTGCACATCTTTGCCAATTTCGCTGTTCAGACAGCCATGGACTTCGCTGATCCTGAACCAGAGCTCGCATTGTGGACGCTATTCGCCCAATCCTGCCTTCCATCCGCCAGACCCCCCAAGGCAGCCGCGTTGCCGGTAAAATGATGGCATCTGAAGGCTCTGGTAGGTGAAGCACCGCGACAAGCAGACAGGTCGCCCCCAACGAAATGAACTCTGTGCCCAGCTTCCGGGTCCCTTTCAAGGCCCACAGAAGCCATTCTTGTATGAACATAACTCATTCCCTGCTCCTACTATTGGGCCCCAGTTTGGAACTCAGAATTTCATGCTCGCCTCTATCTCCGGTTCTGTTTCCAACACCACCTCCGGTCGGTGTCAGCGAGAATTCTTCCAGCTTCTGGCTCCCTTGCAAGGCCCACAGAAGCCATTCTTGTATCAACATAACACACCGCGGCGGTGCCAGCGAGAACTCTTCCGGCATTTATGCCCCTGCTGCTCAGCAGCCGAACGGCAATCTCGGGGCTCAGAGCTAGCTGTATGCTTACGTTTAATCGCTACGCTGTGTCCCGGATCATCAGTTCTTGCTAGGCGCACTGTACTCACTGTACTCATATTGAGATGATGCTACAATCTTGATGACTTACAGCCACCTTGACCCAACATCAACCTGGGGAACATGGCTTTTGATATCACAGCAAGATTTTTACCTCCATGCAATCCATCTGCATTTTATGCTACTTCCTGATGATATAATAACTCATTCCCTGCTCCTATTCAGAATTTCATGCCTCCTACTGGCCGACTCTGTCTCCAATTTTATCACTGGTGGTACGACACCGGTAAATTGGTTTACCATAGTTGTACCACCATTTCGTGACGCTGACCTTCCTGTGGATGCCTTGAAGATCATGATGTATGTTGAACCTTGTGAATATTGTATCTCAGTGACTGCTAACACTAGACGTGCAGTTACTCGGAGATCCTTAACTTCCATGACATCAACTAGGGTAATGACGCCGGTCAGGCGCTTATAGAAGGAGGCATGGCTCAAGCACACCAGAACTTTGCCTTAGAGTAGTCGCCATATACATCTAAAATGAAGTGCAGACAATTTTTGTTTAATGCGATGATTTTCTTTTAGACTGTATAGATGGGGAATAAGGTTATAATTTATCCATTTAAATCTCCTTTATCCTTTTTATTCTTATGTTCTCTCCCTTGAAAGCAGTCATATATATAGCCTGCTATTCAACTTCCTCCTTATTTTGTCCTGGCGTCGTTAAGAGTTGAAGTGTGTAGAAACTTAGATTATTTATTTTTACCTTACTTCTTTAGTGGTGTCTTAAACACAGAGCTATTCTATTATCTATTCTTATACTCCGTATATACACACTGTTACATTCATAAATCCCTCTTAGATGGAAATGTCTAATAATAATATCGATGTTGATTGTTAGTCTAGTTAAATATGATGGCTGGAGAAGATTTCTCCAGGAGCTGTTAGGGCATAGGACGCAATCTGAGTTCATACTAGTTCCTGGGACAGAATGTTCCAATGTCTTAAGACATCGATATCATGTTTACTTTTTGTACAGGTGTAATATGAGTAACGGCAAGTTCCCTCCGTTGGAAGCGACGTAAAACGCGTTCCGCACAACAAGGCATAAACTCGACAACTTCCATGTTGCCAGCGCTCACAGCGACTGAGTACTGAAAGGAGTGCCTCACTATTGTCAACTTCCCATTTACATCGAACCCCTGGTGATTTGGAGACGAATGAATCATATCAGCGGCTGAGCAAAACGGGTTTAGTCCTGGTACAGGTACCATGACCAAGCCCTATGATCGAAGCAACGTGCCAGCATCGATTCTGGCTTCCGATCAGAAGATCTTCAGGCAGGCTACAAAATGCTAATTGGCTCTTACACAGCCGTATTAATCTTATAGTAAATGCTTCTCTGCTAGGGCACTATTGTGAGCGTAGCAGATGTGACCAAGCTTAGAGCAGCGTCTAATTAGGAACTAATCATAATACATAGTGAAGTCAGATGAGTAACTAGGATTCTGGTGGTATAACTACAGTAATCCATTTTTGGGCCTTTCCCACGTATAATGTTCATGACAATTAATGTGCTCCAGGATCGCTGTCTCGCATATGGACTTCCACTGGCTCGTCGGCAGTGCTAGTCGGAGAGATACGTTTCTTAAGATGATCCTTGAAGAAGTTTGACGCCAGAGTCAGATGTTTTGATGACACTGAAGCGGGTCTGCGGTGTGTTGCAGCATACAGTTTCCTTTGTATTAGAAGGTTTTCCTTCTGCATCCTTTTCGATAGGATTATTGTGGCCCGGATAAGTTTTTGGCCGAGGGCTTCCGTAGATTGACCATAACGAGGAGCGATCCCTACCACTTGTGGGCTTTATTATAATCCTAAAGTAAACTGAGTCGCAGCAGAAATGGCGTCTGATTTCTGACGCGCGTGGTTCGGCTGTGAGCACACTGCTCACTTTCTCATTTGCAGGCCTTCAGCCCTTAGTAATGTCATCTAGCGAAGCATTTGTAAGTTACAGACTGTAGATGTCAAAATATCGCATGGACAGTTCATACCTGGGCTCTTGCTATCCTTTTTTTGGGCAAGGATATGAATCAGAGTAAAAAGGTCTGCCCGAGATTGGGCTCGACCACTTCGGTCTGGACTCTATGCTTCATGAGCAATCGTAGAGCAGCCATCGAGCTTACGCCGAGCTTATCATCTGCCCGGCCAATAACCGACAGAATGTCTACTTCAGGAGATGCTTTGACATGATCCAGTAGAGCACCAGCAAATCCATAGTCAAGAACACCTAAAGTCGGCACAGTGCTGGCCGCATCCAGGATCTCCCTGATCTCCTCGATCATGGTGTCCTACCACCTGTTATTGAGAGAATCACTGGCCTGGCTCTCCAGGTACTGGTTTGTGAGTCCATTTCTTTAGTTCCTGGGTAAGAGTCTGCTGACTCTGGCCACCCTCACATAGGTTCGTCTTTGGAAATCTGAGACTTTTCCAGCCTTCGAACCAGCCTTGTCCTCAGCGTAAGAATCGAGGCTCTGGGAGAAGGACATTCGAGTGTGGGCCCTCTGGACCTAATCTTTCGTTCATTCGTGTAGAATCCTAGACGAAATTTACCTTTGTGACGTTAGTGATCCTCCTTATTCAAGGAAAAGTTCTAAGGTCCGTTAACTAACGATAAGTTGGTTTTCCAGTCTGCAGGTACTGGGTAGCCTGTCATTCCCCGGCGGAATCTGATCCTATTCATCAGCCATTTGTAGGAGTATCGGCCCTGCGTTGGATATCCGACTGGCTCGATTGCGCTGCCATTTTTGCAGATAATATCTCAACATCTTGCCCTTGATTCGACGATAAAGGCAGAATTCAAACAAGTAAAAGCCACATCATTATGCAGGTAATGAGGAAGAAAAGGTAGAATTAGAGTCCTGAATTTGGATACGAGAACGGAACTTGCCTAAGTGTAGTATTATATATTCACTCTACAAGGAAATAACCTGAAGAATGATTCTGATTATATAAAAAATTCACTCTCCATGGCTCAAATGCTGGTCTGAAATGGATTTATTCACTAGCTCACTAAGTAGATACTCAAAGGGCATAGATACATCATAACTATTTATATCTGCACGACACCAAGATCATAGCATCATCTTAATACAAGTGCAGAGATCAGGCCAACCACACACATGATTTCCTATACGAAAAACATCTTCTATATTGGCAGGTCGAGGAACTACCTGAGTCCCTAAAAAACAAAATAAATAAATAAATAAAATAAAATAAATAAGGGAAAAAAAATTATAAAAAAGAAAAAAGAGGAAAAAGGCCCGTATGGCGGAAGGGCCCACTACGCCTTTGGAGCGGCAAAAAACGACAAGGACCGGATTCGAACCGGCGCTCCCTAAGGAATCAGCTTACTATTCGAGGCTGACGCATTAACCACTCTGCCACCTTGCCTGTTGTTGAAAAATCAGGAATTGTTCTCTCTTATCATGATAACAAAATAGAAACTTCGCCTCCACTAGAAGTGCAGACATATTGAATATAACCTGAACTTGTGCGGCATGGAGGGTACCTAGGACTGACCGTTTGTTAGTGACCTCGGTTCAGGACGTCATCAACGGTATCTCTGGACTCTGGCCTGCAGGTAATTTTTCTGACGCGTTAACCACTCCGCCACCTTGCCTTGATGTACAAATAATACCGGTATGCCACTGAAAGACTCACTCGACTAGCTAAAAAGTTACGAGCAAGCGTGGCTGCATGAACTAAAATTTAAGATGCATACAATCTGTTAATAGCGTTCTCCTTATCATGATTCCATCTGCTCAGCAATCGGCACGCGTATACGAAGCTCCCGGGTTCCTGATCATTCTATGGGTCCTTTTGCATCCACTAGGGATTTTTATGCATTTCTCTTCAGTCTGGCCTCTCCTCATGGCTTCGATTCAACTGCAGAGTATGAAGAAGCACTGTTGTGTGCGAGGAAAATCCAGTAACTCCCCATCGGATAACATTTACCCGCAGGGATTTCAAGGCCCATAATATCCTGGTCGACGAAGAAGGGCATTTATCGGGTGTTATGGATTCGGAGTCTGCAGGCTGGTATCCTGAATTCTGGGAATTTACAACAGCAATGCGGTTCGGAAAAGACAGTTGGTGGTTTCACGCTGCTTTGTGGATGGGAGAAGACCAATGTCTTGAGTTAGCTTCCGACGTCGCCTTGAACTTGCTGACCATGGACACTTAAGTACATAGCCTGGTAGTTATATTAACGTCTAAGCTCAGACATCTTAAGCGTGGAGACTATACTAGCTAGGAATCTTCCCTCGCTGCCCTGCTTCTGTTAAGCATTCGCCACTTCGCTCGCTAGAACCTATATCTTACATTATCCTTAGTAACTGTTTTCTTGACTTGGTCCCACAGACTAGCCGCAGGGATTCGTTAGTATATCGCGTCTCTTGTGTAGAGCTATGACGACATTCTGTTCCCACCAGCCAGTCCGAACGAGGCGAGTCAGTTGGAAGCTACCTGGTCACCCATGCTAATGCAGATGCCAGGAGTAATTGACCTTGCGGAGCCGCTAGGTTACTGCCCTGGGACGCCTAGCAAGGATGCGATAGCAAGCGATGTAACCATATGACATGGCCTAGCGTTATGACCAGAGCGCAGGACCCATCGAGCAGTATGGGCTAATCGAAGGACCGAGGAATAACCAAGTAGAAACACCGCCAGCAAGTCAGTCCAAGTTGTCCCTATTTCTAAGGATTCCGATACGCCGACGAGTGAAAGCTTTGAGGTTGACTACCTATACAACCTTCCCGCGCAAGATGAAGAGCATATGAAGGTCCCGATCGCCCATGGCCTCTTCTGCACAGTGGATAAAGCTAACCACACGGAAGACGGCGCCTACGTCGACGAGGCCTTTGGCATGTTCTTAACCACTGATCTGGAGCATGTCAGCAGCATCCAGAATATTTGGGCTAATCCAATCGAGGATGCAACCTTGGACGATCTTTGAACTCATCCTCGATGCATGTCTAGAGGCTAGGCAGCTCGGATGGCATACAGTGACTTCAATGCGCTAGGCTGGGAAACCCTTAACCTTCACGGCATTCTTTGGGCGTTTCTAACAGGCGTCTTTGGCTGGTAATCGTGAATGCGCGGGACGGTGTCACTGAGTTCCTCTTCGATGGAGGCCAGCACCTATACCCCAGTTCCAGTGACTGGATGATCTATCAGAACTAAGGGGTCCTTACCACTGTAATTGCCAGTGTATGACTCCCTTCCATAATCCGTCCTCAACGGCTCCAAGCGCTATGATGACGTCCTGAAGGCAAATTCAAAGTTGGTCGATCGTAACCTTTTATCCATGTTAGCATCAAAGCAAAGAGATGGATGGCTCATAAACGCATACAATATCGTCAAAATCTCGTCAACCTCCCAAGAATCGTCTGTAGAATCATAATCTCACCATGTCGACAATTTAATAGTCATCTATGTGATTCAACTCATCGTAAATCTCTGCAGCGCCACTGAGTGCTGCCAGTCTTTGCATAGTCAAGTGGAGCTGCTACAGCCTGACGCTTGGAAGGGGCCGATTGACGGGGTCGTCCGTTTCCAGCCATATCCTACGGTCTGACAAAATCATGCTATTTGTGCTGGGGTCAAAGAGACAAGCATCGCCAATGCTGCCATCCAGGCGCTCTGGGAGGGAAGGTTTACTGGTTAGAAGGATCGTGCCAGAACGGGAGACGGCCAGTGAAACTCGAGCTCAAGGCATTTGTGATCCTGGTTGAGAGCAACTGGCTTCAACGCGAAGAGGCATCTCACCCAGAATGCATGTGCATTAGGGGACAGGGTGATTCGGTTGGCACAGTGCTCAGTGTCACCAGGTCCTGGAGTATCTGAAAAGTATGCGTTGTCGAAGCGGCAAATTGGGAAGTATTTCCCTGCATCATCAACGTCATTTAAAGACAATTCATCCACAGACACATCCATAGCATTATAGCCTGAATCGCGGGGAACAAATGCGCTGGGCGCGAAAGCGCTTGTAGGGCGAATGCCTGTGGGTTATGAAAATGCGGATTGGTATAGTGCTAGTGATCCAGGTCAAATGCCTGGCCGCCAGTGCTTAAGGCTGGGCCGGTAATCTGCTGGGCAAGGGACATGGGTATGATCATGCTCATGCCGGGCGTGTGTATGTCTCTAGCTTGGCCCCTAAAGACATGCAATCTTCTTGAAAAAGGGGAGCAAAGTTTCTCAGAGGCAAGAGGCCCATCAGGCGAGGGTTTAAAATAGAGTCTTTTAGACTGGAAAAAGGATGGATAGCAAACCGGAAAGATGTAGAATAGGATGGAGAGTAAAAAGAGGGAAGATCAGTCTATTTATGCTGTGGGTTCTGAAGAATTACATAACTCATTCTAGTGTCTCTATTCACTGTTATAGACTTTAAGGGCCAGTTGAGTGAATATAAGCCATATATTGAATAGGAGCACTCAGTTGTACCTCTAAGAGGTGCGGATATTGAGATATATATACATTGATATGCTTAAGGTTATTCACTTTCTAGGCATTTCAAAGGATGAAAATACTTTCTCTTTCCTATTCTAAGTTTTTAGCCAGTCATAGGAACCACGAGATTCAAAACTGGGTAATGGCGAGTGCACTCAATGATTAAGCTAAAAGAGTGTCTAGACGACCTTTTCTGAATAGTAGAAATGATAGTAGGGTGACATATTAGCAGGTGCTGGCTGACAGTCCGATATCAATATGCCGTAGTAGAATAAGGATTGGAAAATGGCGTGGAGGAGAAAGTTCTTCAAAAGAAGAAGGGAGAGGGAGACAGGTATGGGGCTTCATGCGACAGGCGCGGTGCTCTCGAGGCCGCGCAGCAGGAAGTGAAGCTTCCCTAGGAGTAATCATGTGTGCAGCTTCTCGCCATTATTCGGGACGTGGAATGGGCATGGCGTCGCGATGGTCAACCGGCGGCAAAGCCTGTCAGCTCTTCGGTCCAATAATACGCCATTGTTCTGTACCGTCGGGGAATTGAGGTGAACGGTCCGTGTGAACAGTGCAAGAAGTGGAATTGTACAGAATACCATAGGCGTTTTGTCCTGTGGCAGTTGTTCGAGCTGTTAGTGGACGGGAAGGCGTGTAAGTGTGCGTATTACCTTGGTCCCAAACAGTCCATCGCGAGGTGGCCATCGTCGAGGCTCGAAAACGATGTATACTCCTGCTTTTCCTTGCTCAGGGTTGCTAAGGGTCCTGGTCGCGTTTCATGGCACACTGTCCTCTACGGATGCGAGCGGTTGGAGGGACATCATGTCTGCTGTGTCGGTTAATGATGATTTAACGCCATAATAAAGAGTTGGTTTCGTTTTGAAGATTCGCAGTCATGGTGCAGGAGGGTGTATTTAAGTTGGCCAAATATTTGGAGCGTGCATGAGATCCAAACACTCGGTTGCTGCGATGGTCATAATAAAGGCGATTATGGTCGGAAAAAGAGAAAGGTAATAAAATAATAAAATAAGAATAACAGTAGAGTCTGTCTTGATGGGTTTCGAACCCTCCACCTTGGGTTATTTATGTCAAGAATGAATACTATTCGGCCAAAAGGAGAAAGCGATTTGCTTGTCGTCCCAGATATGCAACTCTACCTAATATTCAACGACATCTCCCAATATGAGTATGGAGGCAGTGAGTGAATTATTAAATACGTCGATTCCATTAAATATATGGACATCGACACCTATTAATTATACGTGTCCTTGATCTTAACTACCTTAATGATTCATGTATCCGAGTACGTGAAAATCCTTTACTTGTGCTCATTATAGAGGGAAATGTGTATATATATATTTTCACACACCTCACGCCCCCGACATGCTACTCATATTCCTACAAATCGAGACCCATCAAGTGTAAATTCCATGTCGCATTTATATAAATTTGCTAGGTATATTAGTTTCACCAGACATCCAGTGCTATGCCACATGGTCCTGCATCTGTCAAGAAGACGAATTAATTTTGCTGGCCTCAGTCAATCTCTCTACCACATTTCAACCACTCCTCCACCTTGCCTGTTGAAATATTATCGATGTCACTCATCACGACCAATAAAAAAGAACTCGCCTCCACGATACCGTTGATGACGTACTAAATCAAGGTCACTAACAAATAGTCAGGGTATCCTCCATGTCGCACAAGTTCAGGTTATATTCAATCCTTCTGCGGAGTAGTGGAGGTGAATGCTTTTTTTGGTCAGGATAATTCACATCCAATTGCGACATTCAACAACCGGGCAAGATGGCCGAGTGGTTAAGGCGACAGACTGTCGGTACTCCCCATCCTAGTGTTCTATAAATAATACTAATCTCCTCCTAGTGAATTGTGTCTATCTTAGGCAACAAACTATCTGTTCCCTTCGGGGGCGCAGGTTCGAACCCTGCTCTTGTCGATAATCTTTTTTTTTTTGCTTCACCTGGCTTTCTGCTCGATATTAATCAATATAAAAATAATAACCAGGTAATCTTGTTATCAGGATTAAAAATATCTAGCTGAATAGATCATCTAAATTCTCCCTATAGCTTAAGAATTTTAGGATAGGGATTCTAGTAGCTTTAGCTAACGTAATCCACAAGCGAGCGGCCATTCCAATCGAGCGGCCACTAAACCATAGAATTTTGGCCGCAACCGAAATTAGAGGGTATTTGAACACCTAAAACATGATTATATTACTAAAACTAGTTATTCTTGCGCTGCGGACATTGCAATCGCTTATGGCCTATAATATGACAGTCACTGCAGCGCGGGGGTGCCCGTTGAGGGCGTTGTTCTGCATCTACTGCCTGGATAGCTTCCTCAGCCTGATTCCTCTGTTGAATGAACTGCTGCCCTTCCTGGATAGAGAATCCCTCTGCAGATTCTATCTGCCTCCTAGATTGCTTCTTATTTTGAAGCTGCTTCTCATGTGCGGCATGTAGATCATGGTTTTCCTTTGCAAGAAGGATAGCACTATTCATTGCCATCTCACACCCCTTGATAAGCTGATCTAGCGCAGCCTTAGAAGGGGTAGGAGGACTATATGTGCGCTCTCTGAGTAGCTTCTTAAGTGTGTTTTCCTGCTTTTTCAGCTGCTTAAGATTATAGGGTGTTTTTGGGATGGAATTGGTTGATCGGCTGCCTGGTGGTGTAGGGGTCTTAAGCTGGATATTAAGCTGACTGAGCACCCGATCTGGATTCAGTGGTATTAATCCAGTTGCAGAAAAGCCACTTTTGATATTATCTGCTGAAAAGATTGCTGTACGAGCCTGCGGATAGGCCTCAAGGAAGTCAAACTTATCAATATGGTTGAAACCAGATTGCATCTTATTCTCAATTAAGCGGCCATATGCGCGTTTTAGCGGAGAGAAACAGCCAACATCCAAAGGTTGAAGGAGGTGTGATGAATGTGCAGGCATGCAGATTGGAATAATATTATTCTCAGTGCAGATTTAATCAAACTGAGGTGTTAGATGGCTCCCATGGCCATCAAGAATCAAGAGTCGATATCTATCAGTTATACGACTGGTAGCAGGAATAAAGACTCTTTGAAGCCATCATAATCCAATCTGATCAGTCATCCATCCATTCTCACTAACCTCAATCCGCCAGTCTGCTGGTAAGGCTGTATCTTGATACCAGCCCTCAATATAGACCTTTCCCTTGAAGATAATGCATGGTGGAAGCACCCAGCCAGTAGAGTTAATACACTCTATAGATGTAACCCATTCGCGGTTCCCTGGCTGGATAAGAAAGGGCCGACCAAGCATCTCAGCTCTTGTAACTACCTTAGCAGTAGCTACTAAGCCCATGGCAAAGCCAGTCTCATCAAAGTTGTAGATATCTTCAGGCGCAATTCCATGCTGCATTATAGTAATCTAGACATGGTTAAACCACTCTTGGATAACCTTTGGATCTTCACATTTAGCACGCTGGTGATTATAGCGCCTAGAGTACTGAGTCTTGATCTCTTCATGCCGACTAATGAAGTTATATACCCAGTTCTTGCCCACAGTCTGGGAAACAGGTAATCCACGCTTTAAGAGAAGGATATTAGCCATTTCTTGAACATAAGATGGCCGAGGAGCTGCTCCATGTTGATCCATAGATAATATCCACCTAATAAGTGATTCCTCTTCATTCTAAGTCATTTTATGCCCGTTTGCGCGTGCCTCAGGTCGAAAGATATAGCCATCTAGGCGTCGTTGAAGAGTTGTGCGGGGGACATTATAAACACGTGCAGCTTCGGAAATATTGTAAATTTGATCATTCTTAAGGGCAGATATTGCAAGGAGAATCCTTCCCTCCTGCTCAGCTAATTCCCTTGATTTTTTATGCAAGTTTGGAGGCATGGTGACGTGCTAATTAATTCAAAATAATGAGACGCGGTCAAATCTGAAGAGGGTGGCCGCTCGATTGGAATGGCCGCTCGCTTGTGGATTACGTTATTCATAGTGGGATGATTAATTGTTCATCGCAGTGGGAGTAGAGCCTTCGAATTGTGCGAGGGTAGGAGTAGGCCAATGGCCGCCCCGTACATGCCCCGTCAATATTGAAGGGTTCTAAGTCCCTTTTATAATTCTACCTGAGCTGTGAAGGAATGCAAGGGTCTAGATCGTTACATACATAGCGATGACAACTCGTAGATATCTCCGCACACCTCATAGACTTCCCCGAAGTCATATACATACCTGTCGATATCACAATATATTAATAGCCTTCTCTATGCTTGTCTAGTCTATCTATTTTGTTACTAGCTTAAACAGCAGTTGCATAACATGGGTGTTGAATAGGTTCAAACCATGAGCAGTACTATTGCAAAAAAATATTATAACGTCTTATGAAGGATGCTGCCAGATACGCGTACTATTCTTCCTGGTACAGTCCAAATCTAAAGTGAATTGTGTCTATCTCAGACAATAACCCCTCTGATCTCTTCAGAGGCACGGTCGAACCCTGCCCTTTTTAAATATCTTTTTTTTTTAGCTTTACCTGCCTTCCACTGGAAATTAATCAATATAATAACAACAACCAGGCAATCTTGTTATCAGGATTGTAAAAATCCAGTTGAATGGATCATCTAGATTCTTCCTACTGCTTAAAACTTCTAGGATAGGGATTCTAGTAGCTTTAGCCTCCTCTATGCTTATCCAGTCTATCTATTTCATTACCAGCCCAAACGGCAGTTGCGCGACGTGGGCGTCAAATGGGAGTTCGAACCATAAGCAGTACCATTGCGAAAAATAATATAATGCCTTGTGAATGATGCCGCAGTATTCGTACTATCGTGCCTGGTACACGGGGTACCGGAGGAGTAGTTTCCGAGATGGCATGTCTTGCTGGCCGCAGCCAGATGAAGTCTGGGTGCAAGATACGGCGGACAAAGGAACAAACAAACTCCTCATCTTTCTTTAGACAACAAATGAAGGTACAATCCTGGACAAACTTGCCGCGCTCTATGGGCTGGTTACGATGGTAATGCTGGGGGTCGAGAGTGATGAAGCTCTGATGGACGTGTGAGACGGACGCGACACAGCAGAGGGCCAGCTCAAAAAGGTAGTCTGGAGCATACATATATCATTTCTCACCTGAGATTTATCACATACGACCACAGGGTGTGGAAAACAGGGCTTCCCGTCCGCTCAGCCGTACTTAAGCCACACGCCGGCCGGTTAGTAGTTGGGTGGGTGACCACCAGCGAATCCCGGCTGTTGTATGTTTTTGCTTTTATTTTATTTTTTCCATCTGCGTTTCTTTGAAATACTGGTTCTCTGGTGAGACTCCAAAGGCCTGTCAAGATGTAGCGGAGTGGTGATAGAGGGGTCTAGGTACACTGCAGCGGTGCCCTGGCCAGGGATACTGGACCCGTCAACAGATGCAGCAGCCAGGAGATCTGTTGTTAAAAGCTTGCTGCTTTATAGATAAGAGATGCTAAACCATGGGGTGAGTGTGGGCGAGTAAAGGTGAGCTAAGACGCGATATTTGCTTGTAACATTATTCACATTGCAATTTACGTCTAGTTGGCTGGTCAAAAGCTCAAAACACGACTTCATGTGCTGCTCTCGGAGGACCTGAGTAGAGACCATCGTTTTCTTGCGTCTCTGTTTCAACCAAAAGTAGACCGAAAGTCCTTACTTGGCACCATTTTGCTTCTGAGCCATCTCGGCTCTCCTGTCCGTCAAGTGTTCCATCATCTCACTTAGCTTGAGCGTATCTCCGGCTACAATGCACATGGACATGTAGCTCTTCCCCTTGAGGAACGAATCCCCCTTGGCCAAGCAGAAGCCCGAGTAAGGCTTGTCGTGCTTGCGCAGAGTCTTGTGGAACAGCTCAACAGCTTCGAGCCACTCGGGTTCTGTCCCCACGATGCCGTGGCCACCCGGCAGCCCCATGCTGACGCGGGCATCAATGGTGCCAAGCCAGACGGCGTCGATCTCGGGCACTTCTGTCAGGATCGCGTCGAGATTCTGGATGCCCTCGAGCGATTCCACCTGGATCATGAAGCCCGACTGGCGGTTGAAGTTTTCCCACAACGAGTGGTCCTTGTCGAGCGGCACGTCTGTCAGCCCATGCACGTAGCGGAAAGGCGGCGCGGAGCGGTGCCCGCCATTCTTTCGGCCGAACTTTACGGCCCCGCGGGCCTCCTTGGCCTGTTCCACCGTGTCGACTTGGGGCACCACGATGGATGCGCCTGCGTCGAGGGCGTACGCCATGGTGGCATGGTCGTGGCCGGGTACGCGGACCCAAGGGATCGTGCKGCCGTTGCTGAGGAAGACGGCCTCGTGTACCATCTGCGCATGGCTATATTCAGCGGACAATCTTTCTAGAAAGTTACAAAACAAGAGCCAATAACGAATTGAGGTTGCGCGAGCTAGAGGTGTGAGACTAAAATTGCTTCCAACGTACAGTTGTCATGGTCTCAATATTCATGGCGCTATGCTCCCAATCGATCCAAACATAGTCAAAACCCATGGGGGCCACCCAGCGGGTGATCGGGACCGAGGCTAGCCCGGCGTAGTATCCCAGTAGAGTAGGGATCTTGCCCTGGTGGGCGTCCCGGATGGCGTCGCGGGCTCGGTGCGGCTGGAACAACGTATTGGACATGTAATCCCTCATGTCGCCAAAGCGCTCTGATCTATCGTTTGCGTTCGATCCCATTTTGTCGATTGGGGTGCTTTCTTTGACGGCAATATCAGAGTATATTTTCTAATTGGCAAGACGAGGCAAAAAATCAAGAAGACCAGTGTATAAACAGGTCTGTATCGTTTGTGACGATTCGGAATCAAGTATACTGGCGCATATGCGTGGGAAATAAACGGTTTTATTATAGTCGGGCCAATATTCGCACGGTATTACTGTATGATATGCCCCTCGGTAACATATTTCACCTCGATGTCCTCATAAATTGACCGACATCCACGGTAAATTGTATTCAGCGTTGCATCGCTCCAGCAATCCTTCGAAATGGTGGATTTCTACCTTGACAATGGCATTGAGTTCGCGAAACTTTTTCAATGTAATATTTTCGGCTTCCTTTTTCTACTTGGTTCCTCACCATTATCGTTCTGGTAGTTAAATGCTACTTCTGTAAACCCCGCCTGTAGTTACTCACAGAGCTATGCACATACAGTTAAACGCTGTATTATGTTCCTTTAGGATTTATGCTGTGAGGTGATAGCACAAGGATTTGTGCAAGGAGCGTAATCACACTGTGAATTGCAGAAAACAGACAAACCGTATCTAATCAGCATCTGCATGTTCAGTAAAGTCCTCCTTTTTCCGTGTCCTCAGCATAATTGCGGAGCGAAGCGTACCTTAGCATGTCTTATTGCATCCCCTTCCAGCTTTCTGTCTTAGTGCTCAATCTGATTGGACAAAAACCACAGTTTCTGACCTTCTGATTGGCTCTGAAATCTTATATCACGTGATATCATCATGATTTCTATTGCTGGACTCTCTTAATCACTATAGAATTCATAGTATTCTAGAGTCCTAATACATCGTAAAAGTGGGTCCTGGGGGCCAGGACCCTGCCTCCCCTCGTAATTATCATTGCCTTTCTTCCCTACTTATGCCTCCCTGAGCTCCCTCTCTCTTAGACTTTTGGCCCCAGTTTGGGATGGTAGATATCTACCAGCTATACCTAACTAGGCCATCTAGCATTCCATCAATAATTGGAGTAGATTAGTAGAATATTCGCTTCTTAGCATACTGCTTACAGCTTGCTCCGCAGGCCTTAGGTGGTCGTAGACTTGCGACCGGCTACACCTAGCTGTCCTTCTTTTCCTTCTCATACCAATTTATTCAAACCGTGCGTAACGTATCCTGCAGTCCGAAATGGATGCATCATGCCATGGAACGTACAATAGTCGCCGGCAATCGCGCTTGTCAAATCAGACATCGAAACGGTCATGTTTCTGCGGCGACAGCAGCCCACCCGAACTTCAGGCGCTGCCAATTAATGACGAGTCGGGCGTGGAAGCTATTTTTCGGCTCTTTAGTCAAGCCATGGCATTTTGGGAACGCCTAAAGACATGCCGGCCTTGTCTGGAAGCCCACACACACCGCGTTCTCGACATGATTGAGAATGTGATTGGGTTTCTGAGCAATAATGTCACTGATACGCCCGTCAACTCGGATGGGGGGCCTGAGAGGGATAGCCGGAGCGGCAGCAGCAGCAGCATTGGGAGCGCGCCGCAAAACTTCGCACAACCTCGTCTGTTGCCCGTTGTGGCTCCTTCCAGCCCCTCCCTGGCTGCCGCCCTTGAGAATCTCCCTCCTATGGCTCTCGGGCGGTTTACTCTTGACGGTCAACAAGGAGCCACCCTGATACGCTCTATATATCGTCGAATGTTACGCCAGATAGCGTCAATGTTGGATGAGATGCAGCAGATGGAACATAATCAGCATGTTCGATGGGAAAGAGAGCTGGGAAACTACCTGATACCAGTGTTGCAACTACTAGAGGCTATTGAAAGATAGGGTATTATTGAATGACACAACGCCAATACAATCTAGAGTACTAGAGATACTAGAGATACACGGACAAGATTTGATGATTCGATCTTTATCTATTTGATCTTGATCGCGCTGTTATAACTATGTCAATAGATTGAGACAGAAAAAGAGAATGTGTATATTTCAGAGTTTTGGTGATTTTGCGCATACGAAGTAACCAGGTTACTGGCAGTACTTTACAACGTTGTTTCGCTGGCACATGAAATTTATTATCACTCTAGATGCTTACGCAGGTGAAAAAAGGTGAGCTCAAAATAAATTGATTGTCCTATGTAGGCAAAAAATAGTCTATACTATTGCTAATAAGGCGACTAAAGTCCGGTAGAACCAAGTGCGGTGCCGTTCTTGAGAACTATGGGGTTGCTCGAGTACATGACACCAACCATGCGTGCCCACTTGTCGTTGCTGGGGTTTCTCCACTTGTGAGCGGTGCCGCGCTGGATGAGCATGTCACCCGGTTTCTGGATGCGCTTCTCGCCAGATTCGAGTGTGATTTCGATCTCGCCCGCGACCTGGATAACAACGTCGAAGCTGATGGTGCGGTGGAAAGGACTGCCTTCACCAGGAGGGGTGTCGATGTACCACATCATGCCACGGCCGTCGGGGAGGGTGACAGGAGGCACGCTGGCAGTCTCCAGGTACTCAATGTAGTTGGTGAGATCGGTGCCATCGAGCGTGTTGGGGGTCTTGTCGGTGATGTAGCCCAGACGGAACAGGGAACCTCCGAGATCCTGCTTGACCGCAAGGCTTTCGTCCAGGCTCGTATTGAAATGCGAGATGCCGGTCTCGAGATCGGTGTCGGTAATGACACGCTGGGGGTTGGGAAGTGGCGCCGGAGTCGACATGGCTGCAATGCAACTGACTGCAAGGGAGGCAAATGGAATTAGCCGTTTGAATGCCATTTTTGTTTTCTTTGGTTTTCTTTGGTAGGGATTCTAGGAACACGCTGGATATCGTCTCATTCGTGTCTTGGAACTTACATTTCGTCGTGTTTTTATACCAGGACTGTTCAGCCGTAAGAATTTAGTTTAGTTTGGCGAGACTGAGAATAAGCCAGATTTAGGAAAGAGGATGAGTCCTAACAGTTGGGGGCCAAAATGAAAAAAGAGAGCGAGGCTCAAGAGAGAAGCGCAACAAGAACAAAGCTCGTAAGGACGATGTTGGGAAGGAAATACGAAAGTGGCGCACGAGGCTGAGGATTGGAAGCTTGAGAAAGAGAGTAACGAAGGGCAACAACGCGGGACAGAGTTATTAGCAGGATCGCTCTCTCTAACTAGGTCGAGACAAAGTGTCGCAAGCCTCGTCTGACATGTTGGAAATAAAAAGCACCTTGATATCAAAGGCTCAAAGGATGAGAGCGGGGCGCGCGCAGCGCCGCCATGAACGGCAAACGCGGCAACTCCCGCTGTCAAAACGCCTAAAAAAGACTCGAGAGTCATGTTTGAGCCAATCAAAAACTAGCCACGGGTGGTTTTTATCCGGTTTGCATCCATGTAAACTGGCAAGTATTTGATTGGTTTCAATCGGCCTTTCTCGGCTGGAATGAGCGTCCATTTGTCAGATACTTGTCGGTTTCCTTGGATGCAATCATTAAGGTGCTTTGCTGGATTGTCAGGGGAAGAGCTTTGTGTAACGGGCGAACTGTACAAAACACTGACGCTACCTGAAGTGCAGCCGCTTCTCGGGGAGAGCCATGTACTGACGCTGAACAATATCTCCACTATCCTATTCCTAGCGTCTGACCGACGCCACCGATTACCATGTCGAGTGTGGTCCATCAGGATCCAAAAGCTCAGCCAGTGCAGGAGGGTCAGGGTGATGCTGTGCAAGGCGCCATCCCTCGTGGTGATGATGCCCTCGACGGTGGTGTCAAGACAAGCAATGAGAAAGAAGACCATGGTGGCCAAGATGAAGCCGACTTCGAGGTCCGGTTCAAAGCTGGAGATACCACCAACCCCAAAGAATGGTCATCCTGGCGCCGTGCCTGGGCATTGTTCTGCATCGCCTTCTCCTCCTTTATCGTGTCCCTCTACAGCACTATCTACACGTCGTCCATACCGGGAGTCAGCAAAGCCTTCGATATTCATCTCCCCGTCATCCCGACGCTGGGCATCACCACCTACCTCATCGGCACTGGTGCGGGTAGTCTGATCCAAGCACCGCTCAGCGAGGTGTTTGGTCGCCGCCCGATCTATCTCGTGTCCATGGTGGTTTTCACTCTTCTCATCCTTCCGTGTTCGTTGGCCACATCGATAGCTGAGATATTAGTTGTACGATTTTTCGGGTACGCAATTTGTCTCTTGTGGATGGTGGCGTGACTTTTGCGTAGGCTGACCTGCCAATCTCAACAGAGGCGTGTTTGGTGCTGCTACCATCTCCAATGCGCCAGGTAGCTTGGTCGACATCTATCCACCCGACAAATTGGCAGTTGGTTTCTCGCTATGGAGCATCGCGCCATTCAATGGTCCTGTTATTGGGCCCATCATCGGTGGCTTCGTCTACGCGGGGTTGGGCTGGCGCTGGGATAACTGGCTGACCATGATTCTCAGCGGCGCCTCTGTCCTGCTCATGGCTACGATCCCCGAAACATATGCCCCTGTCCTCCTCAGAAAAAGAGCCTCACGGCTCCGGAAAGAGCAGGATAGTCGCTATTGGTCTCGCTACGACGACAAGACATCCTTCTGGTCGCAGCTCAAGGTCAATCTGCGCCGGCCGTTCACCTTGGCAGCAACTGAGCCCATTCTGTGGTTCTTTAATACATGGTAAGTAGCCAAAGTCAAGACCCAAGCAGCTTGCTGGCAAGGCAAATGCTAATGTCGTGCCAGGGTGTCTGTTGTCTATGCCGTTCTCTACCTTTCCTTCGTCGCATATCCCATCGTTTTCCAAAATTATAGAGGCTGGGGACCCGGTATCAGTGGCTTGGCATACTTAGGCAACGGTCTAGGAGTGATGCTTGCCATCTGTCTCGAGCCGCTTTGGAGGCGCATCATCAACTCCAGTCCAATCAACCCCGAAACTGGCCGTGTATATCCTGAAGCCGCAGGGTCCATTATGAGCCTTGGTGCGGTATGTACTCCGATAGGGCAACTCGTGTTTGCCTGGACTTGTGTGCCTGCAAGTATCCACTGGCTGGTGCCCATTGCTTTTGGAGTTCCTTTTGGCTTTGGAAATACGCTGTGTTTTATCTACAGCTCGAATTATTGTATGTGCCTCGTCCCACTGGGATTTCTCGACTGACTAACATGGAATAAAAGTGGCGGGATCTTACGGCATCTACGCAGCTTCTGCGCTCTCTTCAAATACAGTTTTCAGATCTATCCTAGGAGGAACATTGCCCCTGGCCGGACCGAAGATGTATCAAAACCTGACACCTCATTGGGCCGGCACACTTCTCGGCCTGATAGAGTTGTGCCTGGCTCCTATTCCCTTCATTTTTTGGCGTTACGGAAAAAGGATTCGTTCGCGAAGCCGAACGATTTTGCAGATCCAGAAAGATGCTGAGGCGGAACGGCAGCGCACGTCTAGATCTTGAATGTTAATCATGCACAAAAGTATACCCATGTAAACCTATGTACTATTAGTATTTTCCCAGCCAGGGCAAAAGGCATAACAAGACGGGGGTGTCTGCGGATTAGTACATAAGCCAGTAGTTAATGACCACAATCTGGGGGGCAAAACCAGAACGGTCACTGATCTACCCTATACCTGCTCTGTTGCTCGACTAACCCTAACTCGTGGCCTTCAGTAAAGTGGGTTACAGTAAAAAACTCACCGGGGGTCTTTAGCATTTTTTAAATGTCCCGAGAGCTTAGGTACGATACATTTAGGGAGATTAGGGTGCCCAAGTCGTCAACGAAAAGCGAGGCAAAAGCCCACAGCCGCGCTCAGAGAAGATAGTCGAACACCACCAAAATACAGAACAGCACCAAACACGCAATATTTCCCACCTTGCTTACCTAAAATGGACCTGCCATCAATTTTGCCAAAGCTCACTCCCGCTTTGGGCGACCGTGAGGCCATCGCTGACGCCATGTATCGCTGTCTGTGGGGGTTCGACACAGCGGACGCCGCGTTATTCGCGTCGAGCTTCGCAGCCGACTGCCTCTTTGACCTCAATGGCAAAGTCATGAACAGCTTGGAAGAAGTCAAGGCAAAATGCTTCGATCCCATTTCCAAAATGGACACGACGCACTTCCTCACCAATGTGCGTGTCAACTATGTCGAAGGCGAGTCCAAGGCCGTGGGTACCAGTTGCGGGCTGGCGCAGCACTACGCTCCAGGCCAGGGTCTTCAGGACGGTTCCAAGTCGCTCCTGGTGGGCAGTCTGTACTGGTATGAGTTTGTCAAAGATGACTCCGATGGACTGTGGAAGATTAAATACTGGAGAGTTAAATCTGTCTGGAGTGAAGGCGACTGGGGCATTCTGCAGGGTAACTGATACAGGATGGCAAGGATCAAGTGGATAGCTAGTACAGCAGAAGACAATCTAGGTATTCAGCCATAAAATTAATGCTCCTTTCGTATTGCTTTATAAATAAGCCATCTCATCCCGCGACTCCTGTGTATTGAAACGAGGTAAGCCAAACGGAAATGCGTTTGACGGATCCAGTTTCCTTTTCAACTTGGTCAACCTCCTGACCGTGTCGGCGCCATAGAAACGGGTTGCGTCGCAGTCCGCTGGCCGCGACATGCTCCAGTAGCCCTTTGGCAAAGCCTGACCGGTTTGCAATATCTCACTATAAATAACTCGCGTCCATTCCCTTGTGACCTGCTTCTGTCGTGGAGATGCGTCCAGTGGTGCAATGGCGCATGGCGAAACAACGTAGTGCTGGCGGCGATGACTCCAGGAAGCCGTGCCATCAGGCTGTACGGCGCGACCGTGGACGTGGTGCACGAGTATGGCCGATGCGCCGCCAGTGGGCGCTGGATTCCGCATGATGATCCCAATCACCTCTGGAGTGAGATGGGCCAGTGTCAGAGATGCCATATCCCAGTAGCCATGCTGGGACTCTTCAATGCCTTGACTTAGTGTCTCGTGAAAAGCAAGGATTGATGCTTTTGGAGATAAAAAAAATTAGTTACAAAGCTGAAAGTCATACGTTGTAATGGAGTAGACTTACTGTCGCCAACTGTGTCCACCAAGGGGGCCACTTGAAGCCTCTGCAGGAGCTTTTCCTTGAATTTTGTCCCCTCAGCTGCGTGAGTATCCGAGTGGCTGTCGCATATCCAAGTGAAAAAGATGTTGATGGCTGGGCCGAGTTCGTCGGTCGTGTTGATGGTCATCTCTCCGCCAAAGCTAGTCGGTACTCCTTCGTTCACGAGGGTCTGAAAGCCCGAGAGCACTTGGACAGCATGCTGCAGAGAAAAGACCAGAATTCCAGCAATGTACCGAGGTTTGGGACGAGCTCTGACTCGCAGTTCAACCACGATGCCAAAGTTTCCCAGTCCAGCGCCACGCATTGCCCACAACAGCTCCGGATCATCTCGGGTGTCGATGATACGACCGTCCGCTTGCATTACCTTTGCACCTAGGATGTTGTCCACGCCCATCCCCCATGCACCAGAGGATAGGCCGTACCCACCACCGCAAGACCATCCTACCATGCCAACACTGCCTACCCAGCCCGTCGCTGCGCTGAGCCCGGCGCCATCGAGCGCTCGATGCAGCTCTATGGCAGTAATACCCGGTCCAAGCGCGACAACTTTGTCTGTTGCGGTTGAGGAAGGGTTGCTCTCGAGGATCTTGATCCATTTGAGAAATCTTAGGTCACACTGAGCAGCGGTCGACACAACGGTGCGTCCGTAGGGGTCATGTCCACCGCCTCGAATCGTCATAGGAATCGGGGGTTTATGGCCAGAACAGTAGACTACTGCCTGTCGTAGCTGATCAATGCTCTTTGGCAAGACAATGGCGAGTGGCTCAGTCTGACGGTTGTACTCGTTGTACTCTTGGCGAATGGATGTATAAAATGGGTTGGAAGGCGTGACTATGAGGGTGTCGGGGGAGTCTTTGGCCAGTTGAAGGAGAGACGGTGCCTCCCTCCGAAGAGTATTTGGGTCGGATTTCCAGTCGGTGGTTTTCATGCTCTCTCCCATGATTGTGTAAATTAGGATATGTGATACTGAATTTGATTAGATGCGACAAGCTACTAAGGCACTTGAAATGCGCAGTAGGAGAAGGGAGAGTATGTAGCTGCAGTCGTGTCGTTCTGACTGTTGCCGGGTTCTGTTTCTAACAACCACCCGAGCAAGTACCGGATATAATTCGGGGGACCCGAGGGTCAATTCCAGTATCGTGACAAGCCTGAATATGTATGCCAGTATACATTAATAATCCTTCAGTTATTTTGTTGCGCCATTGCATGTCGTACTTTGGGCAATTGCTCTGGTGTCACCAGAGCTTACATTGTATCGACAGATTGCTGAAAAAAGCTAAGAAAAAAGTTGTATTGCAATAGCATATACTTTCTAACCCTAAAATAACGTAAGAGATAAGATAATAAACAATTTAAAAAATCCCAATTTAATTCAAGAAGCCTGATGTCCTCAATGCCTTGATGTACTTGCCAATGACCTCGTCCGTGATTGGCCCTTGGTTACGAAGCGTCTCAGAGTACTGATTTGCCTTGGTTGTATCCAAGATAAGCTCTCCGCACGACATTGGAATAAAGTAGTTTTCGAAAAAGTCAATCAGCTGCAGTGCCGGATTATCTACCGTAGACCCGCGCAGTCGTCGGACGCGATCAATCCACTGGTCAAATGGAACAATGCTTTCCTTCCCAAGGCCGAGGGCGCTGGCGAGGGATGCAATCATTTCCTGCCAGCCTTGGCGCGACGGATTGTCAATGTGGTAGATCCAGTCGTCGGCCGTCTCGGACAAGAGCAAGTCGCCTAGGGTAGCAGCGACGCCATCGACGGGGTACCAGGAGAGGGTGCCCTCGAGGTATGGGAGTAGGCCAAGAGACTGGGATGACTTGATGAGGAAAGGCATGTATTCGGAAGTATTCCAGTAGCCGTTAGTGGTGGATCCGGAGATTTGCGCAACCCGCACGGCCTTGGCCTGGAAGCGATCGGGATAGCGGCGTAGCGTCTTGGACAGAACGGTTTCGCAGACTAGCTTCGCCTCTGCATAGCCAGTGAGAGGGACCGACTCGACAGTTGTCGGCTCCTCAGGCACCAAGGGGGTTCCCTTCCACAGAGGGTAGTTGCCAACCACGGCAATGGATGACACGAATAGGAACCCGACGCGGAGCTGGGGCTGCTCCTTGGCAATGTCCGCTGCGAGGGATATGAGATTTCTTAGAATTTTCATTTGGATCTCATACATGCGGATAGGGCGCGTCAGACTCATGGGCCACGCACTGTGGACAATGTGGGTGACTCTGCCGAGTAGAGACTGGTACTTGTCGGCAGACAATCCTATGGAAGCCTTGCTTGTATCAGTTTCAATCACTTCCAACTTTGCCATAGCCGCGGCGTCGAGCTCAATTCCACGCATGGCAAATGAACTTTTTTGACGGACGTTGGCCTCAGTGTTGCTCAGTCTGTTAATACAGATGACCGTTTTAACATCGCTGCGCTGCGCAAAGGCGGCCACAATGTGAGAGCCAAGACTGCCTGTTGCGCCAGTAACGAGAACACAGCGCGAGGAAGCCTTCGACGTGGCCTTTGATCTTGAGGATATTGATTCTGGCAGCTCGAAGTCATTGGAGTATTTCTCGACGTAGTTGTCACTGATCTTTTGTCTCTCGGCATTGTTGGTGGGCAAAGACGGTGTAAAAACGCGCGAAACATATCCAGACGGCCGCGGTGCTTGAGGATGGCTATCCTTGGAGGGAAATGCAATAATAAGCCGCTGCAGATCGGCCTCTGGATGGTCTCCCCTGGTCCAATCAACATGACCAAATCCGACTGATCTCAATGTCTTCTCCCAGTGGCTCACAGAGGCAAGCACATAATCACGCTCGTCTTCAAACAGCCACCAACCTTCAAGGAGACCAAAGACAAAGTCAATCCAGGGGACTTGATGTGTCATCTCCAGAAGCATCAAAAAGCCATCAGTTCGCAACATGCGGTGAATGTTGGCCAGTGACACAGACAAGTTGCGCGTAGCATGGATACAGTTCGTGGCCAGGACAATATGTTGACTTTGCACAAGGGCGGCATCGGGTGCAGACTCGACATCAACCACCTTGAACTCAACAAACGGGTACTGCTTAAATCGCTTGCGGGCGGCCGCGACCAAGGAGCCAGATATATCTGACATGGTGTATCGGATTGGCACGCCGAGCTTGGCCAGCAGAGGCACAAGCTGCGAAGTGGTTCCACCGGTGCCCGCGCCAATCTCAAGGATGTTAATCGTCTCACCAGTCTTGGGAATCCTGGAGATAAATTTCTCCATAAACAGTAAAAGTTGGTGAATCCAGACACCTGTAAAAGGAGACTTGGCGTAAAAGTCAGAGGCCACCTCGCGACTCTCTTGACGCCCAAATATGAGTTGGACGCCGTCTTCCTTTCCAGTTATCAAGTCGGCAAATCTGGTGCCCACAAGAGCTGCAAGCTTGACATCGTACATGTGCGTCGGTTCTTCCTCTAGCAATTTTGCGAGTAAAGTATCCGCCGACTTGAGTGGCGGCGCGACTGCTGTGCGTGTGATGGTTGAGCCTTGGATGTCGATGAGACGGGCGTCGACCTCCAGCAGCTGATACATGAGCTTCATGAGCTTCTCGTGCTTAGCAAGATAAGAGACACGCGGTAATTGATCGCCTGCTTTTGCAGAGCGGATGGAACAGCCGAGCTGTTCAAACGCGTCGAGAATGTAGGCAACACACAGCTCGCTTGTTCGTGGGGTGATGTGTTTGTTGTATCCAGCCAGATTGTGCTCTTCAAGAAGGTTATCGGTCTCCCATGCCAGCTCGTTGAAGACTTCCAAGACGATTGATGACGACAACGTGGCAGGACTGCCATTCGGTATGACGTTATAGCCGTCCATGGCACTGCTGGCGTCACCATTCACAGTGCTTGTGGGTTCCATAGCTGAAGTGCCATTGAGATGCCGGCCGGGGATGCCTTTTGAAGTTGATGATGCAGCAGGTTCGTTTGCAGGTGCAGTGTCATTGCTCATACCCAGTGCGGATCTGATACAAGCCACCAGACTCTTGAAGTCTGTCAGCTCCATCAAGGCATCATTAGTCAACACAACATGGAATGCCGCATCGACTTCGCGAACTACTTCCATAGCCATGAGGGAATCGATACCAAGCTCTGCCAAGTCAGAGTCTTTCTTGATGTCGTCTGGCTCCAATCCTGACAGATTGCAGACCAGCTCTACGGTTTTGTCGTAGACCTCCGCGTCAACAGCAGCATTTGCGGAAGGCGCCGATGTGGGTGCTGGCTCAGAGCCCTCCGAAACAGAAGATAAACCTTTCTGTGAAATGTGTTTGGCGGGATTATTATTGGGCGTGTCCGCCGGCGCGGGTCCGTCTGTTGATGAGGAGCTCCGGATCTCTGCGCGCGAGGGTTCGGCAGCCAGTTGTCCAGTAACGATGTCATCCGTCGCTAGTCGTTCATAAGAAACACCCAGCATGACCTCCGCCAAAGACCCATCCTGGCCATCAAAGACAAACATGTCGGCAATGTATCCCGACTCGGAGCCTCGGTGACAGGCAACAAACACATTCCACTCTCTCGGGTGAATGCTGTTATCCGACAAGCTGCCACTGCGCAGCCACTGAGAAAAGCCACGGCAAATAAAGATAGCGCCCTTATTGTCCCTCTCCGATGAAGAATCTTCATCCTCAATCATCAGGTTGAGGAAGATACTCGCCACCTGGCAAAAGGTTTCGGTGCGTATCGCGTTGACGTAGCCAACCTTGCCGTCTTCCTGTCCACCGAGTCGATGTGCTTTGACACGACCGGCTGCTTCGCTGCCATTGCTAGAGACCTTTGTGACTTTGCCAACTGCTTCTTTGTATTCAATCAGCTGTTGCATTGAACGGTATATGCTTCGGCCTTGAAGCACATCGACATTCTCATCGGTCCCCGTCAGCAACCTCTCGCACCTGTCCCTTCCACTGAGACGAGTCAAGTGATCATAATTCTCTTTTACGTAGGGATCCGCTGGTGAGGTAAATGAGATGACGCCGGTGCTATAGACTGTATTTGGCGCTCCACTGCCGTCCGCTGAGCTGAAGATTTTCCACGTACAGCTGCGGTTTGGTGTTCCAGACCACGCCACATCAATAAGGAGGTCGTCACTGACATCGGCGCATAGGATATCGTAAAGATGAGTATTTCGAATAAGCGGCTGGTACTCAGTACCGTCCAACTCAGGATCCTGACTGTAAATAGCATGCAGTGCAATCTCGACATGAAACATGGCCGGGACTGCTGCCACTTTTTGGGCAATTTTGGTTGCATTGGCAGGAACTTGAAATTGGGAGGTGCCAACGTTGACGCGGAATCGAGCATTCTGCTTATTTTCTCCTTGGTAGGCAACGAAACTTGTCAGGGTTTTTGGTGCTTCTGGCTGTGATGCAGACTGCTGCTCGGTGGCAGCAGGTGGCGGCGAGCTGAGCGGCATCTCTTTGAGCTCCATCCAATGTGTTGCTTTCTCAAATTGGTACGGAGGAAGAATGAGCGGGGAGTATTGTTGCACTTGACTGACGTGATGCATCCAGAAAGCCACATTGAGGCCTTGCTTCCAAAGGTCAATGGTGTTATTGACAAGGAACGTGAGCGAGTTGCTGCTCGTGATGTTGATGGCCTGGAAATGACTCGATGCTGGGCTCCCAAGAGAGCGACTGGCCATGTTCGCAATGCTTGAATTCGATCCTGCCTCAAGCCATATAGCATCCCCAAAGTCCTTATGAAGTCTCTGAACGGCATCGTGAAAGTAAACTGGATGTCGTAGATGCTGTGCGACGAAATCCGATTGCAGCTTGTCGGATGACAACGAGGTCCTTGTTGCCCGTTCCACCCTTATGGTAGGTGTGTGGAATTCAACATCAGCAGCTACATCTTGTAACTCCTTCATTAACGGTTCAACAAGTTTCGAGTGGAAAGCATTTGTAACGTTCAGCCGCTTCATCTTGGGCGATGGTGTGGCTTCGGCGGCCAGACTCTGGAAGTGCTCAACCCATCTGGCAGAACCAGCCAGGGTGAAGCTTTTTGGCCCATTATGGCAGGCAACTCCAACATCTGATTCGCCACTGGAGGCTTCAATAGCCTTTGCGATCAAATCCTCTACTGTGGCAGAGTCAGCCTCGACTGCCAGCATGGCACCTCTCTCTGAACCCCAAGAGTCACGAATGATCCGAGCCCGACGCGACACAATCCTGAGAGCATCCTCCAGCGAATAGACTCCAGCGATGCACTGGGCTGTAAGCTCGCCAAAGCTGTGGCCCACTACAGCAGCGACATTCACTCCACAGTCGATCCAGCTTCTGGCGCAAGAGTACTGCATCGCAAACAAGGCCAGTTGGAGTCTGCAAATATCTTGAATAGGTGTTTTCAGGAAGATATCAGGGTATATGCTGCCCAGTCCGAGCGAGAGACATGCAGAATCACACTTGTACAAATGCTCCCGTAGAACGGTAGCGCTGTCGAAGACAGCTCTGTCCAATCCAACGAAGGTAGACACCTGGCCTCCGAAGCAGAGAACAACTGGGCGCGTTGTCGGAGAGTATTGCTCTGCTACAACTGAACCGCTATCATTCTCCAAAGCAGAAAGCTTTGTGCCTAAGTCTGACAATGAGGAAGCAGTGAATATGGCGCCCCAGGGCAATGTCGAGTTAGATTGGCGGCACAATTGGAAGGAGAGATTGGACGCTGATAAAACGCTTTTGTCGACAGTGCCCGTTGCGGCCTGGGATTCTAGAAGCTTTTTGAGCTTGTGTATGTACGCCTTAAGGCTTTTCTGATCCAAAGCGTGCAAGCGAAATGGATAGTTTTGGCCTTCAATCGAAGCGGATTCGACGCTGGACCGGATGCGACGCAGAGTGGGTGATTCAGTAACAATCATGGACGCATTGGATCCCGAAGCACCGTAATTGTTGATGAGGGCAGCACGAAAGTTCGCATCCCATGGCTTCACCCTCGTTGTAATTTCAATTTTATCCGTAGATGTCGCTTTCAGTCCAGGGCTGCAGGTTACAAAACTGGGCTGTGGAGGGATGGTCCCGTGGTGAATCATGAGTAGGATTTTGACCAAAGAAATGATTCCAGAGGCAAATTCTGCATGTCCCACAAGTCCTTTCACAGACATGAGATTCAGATTAGTGTTGCCTCGCCTGTGGCCTCCGAAAACCGTACGGACTGCATCGTACTCAGCAGGGTCTCCGACTGGTGTTCCTGTTCCATGAGCCTCAACCACAGACACATTTTGTGGTTCGAGCCTGGCCTGGTGTACGACGTCAGAGAATAGCTCAGACAGTGATGGCGAGTTGGGAACTGTAATGGCTGTGCAGTTCTGGTTCTGGTACACCTTGGTAGCTGCAATGACACCAAAAATTTGGTCGCCATCGGTGAGCGCCGAGGACAGCTTCTTGAGATAGACCGCACAACCGCCTTCTCCTCTGCAATAACCATCTGCGTTGGCATCGAATGGCTTGCATTGCCCTGTTGGACTTAGAAATGACGCCCCGGCAAGGTTGTGGAACCAGTTCGGGCTGGTGAATATATTCACACCACCAGCGAGAGCGCTGCTGCAGTCTCCATGTAGAATGGCCCGACACGCTTGATGGATGGCCACGCTGGACGATGAGCAGGCTGTGTCAACTGTCAAACTGGGACCGGTCCACCCAAACCAATGGCTGACCTTGCCTGCGACGAAGCTGCGGAGGTTACCTGTCGCTGTATAGGCGTTGGCAGGGTGGCAGGCAATATTATCGAAGTAGTCGACGTTGCCCACACCAATGTAGCAGCCAATGTGTTTATCTTTGGTGGACGAGGGCGACGTAAAATATCCAGCCTGCTCCATTGCCTGGTATGCCAGCTTGAGACACAGGCGCTGCTGGGGGTCCATGGACGCCGACTCTCGGGGGCTCTTCTTGAAAAACTTGTGGTCAAACTTGTCAAAGTCGTCAATGAAGTTGCCGAACCACTTGCGACCACCAGCTCCTTGTTCCTGTAGCTGTCTCCAATTCATATCCATGGGGAATCTCTCAGGAGGAACTTCCCTGTGTTGGGACTGGCCACTGACCAGAATATTCCAGAATTCTTCGAGATCTTCTGCTCCAGGGACATGGCAGGACATTCCGACGACTGCAATCTGCTCATCGCCATGACTAAGTTGTGATGAGATGCCTATCTTTGCCAGACTAGTATCGCCAATTCTGGTTATCCGAGAATTCAGCATGCTGGCAAGAGTTGGTGGCACGCAGCGCTCTGGCCCGATGATGATGATCCTGCCCTGGCTGGCATCAAGAATGGATGGGTCAATTAGCTGGCTAAATGACCAAAACCAGTCAGACTTTTCGAGGAGGATTCCCCTAAGAACTGTCACTTCCACAAGGGAGTCTCGACTCCAACTGCTCATATCGCTGTGGAACATCATGTGGCGTGAGCTTGACAGATGGAATTCTTCGTTTGACGCAAATAGCTGTGCTAGTTGCTTTGCATTTTCCTCATGGCCCTGCCAATGGAAACGTCCCGCCAGTTCAAGTCGCACGATGTAAAGGCCAGCAGCCTTCAGCGTTTGAGCAAAGGCTACTGCCAACTTCTCTGAAACAGTGATTGTTGCTCTTCGTTCGTCCATGATAACAGAGATGTAGGTCTAGACTGTAGTTAGTAATGAGGATGACAGCGAGACACCGAACACTTACGTTGGAAAACGGTTGTATCAACTTCTTGACACTATCCAGGGTACGACCAGCTCCCCATGATACTGAGAAAGATACTGCACGCCCATCTGAACCGTCTGCTGCCATTTCGGCATCGACAATTGCTCCAATTGCCATGGCTTGCCTCACAGCTTTGCAACTGTTCGTGGCCAAGCTCTGTAGGGTATTGGAATGGCTCGCGACCATGGCTCCTAGCATACCGGTACATAGACCAGCTGCAACTGATTCCTGCATGAAGTCGGCTGGCAGCGGATCGTCGTCTTTCAGTCTTGGCCAAGTATCTCGCAATGCTTTTGAGTACTGTGTCAAATGCATTATGACGACGAGGGGGGTGGATAATATGTTTGGCAGCGGGAACGTGGACGGGGATGTGCTTCCAGTGTTGAATTCGTCCACAAACTTTTTCAACAATGGCTTGCCATCGAAACTGTTCAGTTGAGGGACATTTTTGGCAACAACATCCCACAAGTCAGGCAGCTCGGATAGACAGTCGAGAGCCCATCGATTGCTTGGCGTTGAATGAAGTGTATCTCGCAGGGTTTTGATGTCATCAACATCTAGTGATAGCGCCTGTGGCCCAAATAAAAGTACATTTTGTACCATATCTTGTTTTGCAAGCGAACCCATGGTATAATGTTGAGGACGAAAGATCTAATTTTGTTATTGGTGACTGGGAGCAAGATGCATAAGAGATGCTGTGTGGGAGAGACTGTAGGAGACTCCGACATGATATGTTTCGTGGCTCTGTCTTGGCACCCTGTCAGTGCAAGTACTCTGTTTTGGTAAATTCTATTTCAGTAATCCCATGATTCGCCGCGGACCTTGATACTGGGAAGGATTACATAGGGCCCGGCTGGTTTCCAGTGTCTGAGCTGAACAAACAAACCGGGCCGCGGCGCACCATATCTCCAAGATAGGCAGGGCATTATTCAAAAGACAGCAGTTCTGAAACGTCATGCTTTATACTCTTATTACTATGGCTGCTTTTAAGTATACAGTGTTGAGCTAGCTGCAAGATTACGTATCTGCTCCACGACTACCTGCACGTCCTTATACTTCAGCGGCACTTGATGCGCCCCATCCCACTCTACCGAACGCCTGCTCCGCGAGTCGCAAAAGTTCTCAAATAAACTGCGGTGAAGCTCTAAACCCTCGTCGTTAAGGCCATGCACATGCAGTGTGGGAATACTCAGAATGTGTCCATTGCCGTAGAAACTGCGCTTGTCGCTGTCCCTCTTGGGCCAGTCCGTAAGTTGCGATGCATCTGGAAGTGTCTGATCCGGCCACATGTCGGGATCCAAAGAAACAATAGGTGCTCGGCCTGCTATAAGAATGCCGAATTGGAAATTGAGTAGGTCGTCTTGATCGAGAGATTGCCGTCGAAGTTGTTGTCTATACAGGATGCTAGCGGCTACTTTCGCGCCCTGACTGAATCCCAATATGCCGACCCATTCGCCAGTTGCGCCCGCTCTAGTATCAGCGGCCATGGCATCCATCAACGCCTCATCTATTTGCTCAATTATGAAGTTGGGGTGCGCATGAGGCTGGTCAGGTAACCAGCGAAGCCAGCGACGAAACGGGCCCCATTCGCCGTAGGCCGGCGTGACATCGGGGCCAGCTTGAGACTCGAATGGTGCTTGAGCAAAGACGAGGCGATATTCTGACTTTAACTGCGCAACAATTCCACGACATTGGGCTCGAAAAATACGTGCGTTGGTTCCTCCGCCATGGAGGCAAAGTATGCGAGGCAGATGGCGTGTAAGCTGGTCGGGCGCTGGCGCTGAATGCATCGTGCCAGTGAGGGTATAATTGAGGAACTTGAGCTTCTTGCTATGTTATGCTCATTTCCTTTGTCGCATTTATGACAATATTCGCAGAAAGACGTTCCGGCCAATATGAAGAGCGTCTCTTACACAATGATACAGCTGTGCCTTCAGTCCTTCACTAATGGCCCGAGCGAAACTACCCGAAGTCCTGCCAGGAAAAGGCGAATGGACTCAAGTGTGGTGACATAAAGATATAATATTTAGCAATAGCTCTATCACACGAGCGGCCACATTGATCAGTTTTGCTCCTCTCAGCCAATTCTCAATATTCTGATAACGATTGACTCGGAAATAATGCCTTCCGTCGAAGAACTGCCAGACTTTTACTTGCCCCTCATAGACATTACACCTTTCCTTGAGGATCCCAAGAGCGATGCTGCTCAACAAGTTATTGACGATGTCCGACGAGCATGTGGATCGACGGGTTTCTTCCAAATGAAAGGCCACGGCGTGTCCCAAGAGCTGCAAAAGCGAGTGTTTGAAGCCTCCGCCAGATTCTTTTCTCTTCCTGCGAAGGAGAAACTTCGTCTTGATGCTAGGAAGAACCCTGGTTTTCGTGGCTACGATGTCATGGGCTCACAGTCCTACGAAACGGAGGAAGAAGAAGACGACGGAATCTTGCGAGACGTCAAGGAGGGGTTTTTCATCTCCAAAGAGATGCCCCTGGACCACCCTCGTGTCGTCCAGGGCCGTTTCCTGGAAGGCCCCAATGTCTGGCCGTCGCCTGACATTCTTCCGACGGCAGACTTTCGCTCTGTCACAGAAGAATACTATTCCGAGATGCTGCGGGTATCCCGCATCGTTTTTGACCTCATCGCCGCCACACTGCCCTGTGGACCGCACTGCTTTGACGATTTACAGGCCAACGACCCCATGTGGCTCCTTCGCCTGTTGCACTACCCGCCAACACCCGGTTCACAGGGAACGTCCAAGATGCAGCTTGGTGCCGGCGAGCACACCGATTTTGGCGCCATCACCCTGCTGGTGCAGGACGAGCATCCCGGGCTCCAGGTGAAAGACTACAAGACGGACCGGTGGGTTGATGTGCCGCCCAACCCAGATGTTTACATTGTCAATCTGGGCGACGTCATGTCTCTGCTCACAGGAGGCGAGTATCGCAGCAGCCTCCATCGCGTTTGGAACAAGAGCAGCGACGACAGGTATAGTATTGTATTCTTCTTTGATGGTAACCTGGATTCCAAGCTAAAGCCACTCGACGGGCTTCCGGTGCAACCAAAGTCATCCAATGAGATCTTGACTGTTGAAGAACATGTTAGATATCGCATGACGGGTAGCTATAGTCTCGTAAAGAACTAGCAAGAGCAATAAATGTTTGATTATGAATATCCAACTGCGGCCATCCCTGTAGCTATCAGCATAAAACGCAGCCTGCATATGCACGCTGTTACTAGGATCCAACAAACTACTTAGTAAATACCGAGGAAATGATAGGGAGCAACTTTACCAGTTATTACCTTAGTCTACGAGACCGAATACTGGCACAAGGAAGCGTATCCGGTTTCCGAGGATCTTATCTTCGCCCCCGTCGCCCTGCGAAATGCGCCGCGGCCACTTTTGTAATCCCTGTAGCGAATCCCACGTTTCATATGAAAGCCACCGAGAATCTCCAAGTCTCCTGCCAGCGCCGTGGCGTGAATGAATTGTCCCATATCCCTCGGTGGACAAAATACAGAGCCGCAACAACTCTGTAGGGGAGAGAATGGCGCGGGATGCAGGCTCCTTTTGGGAATTCCGAGCTCACTTCTCGTGTAGTAACTGAGGCAGCAGCCAGTAAATGAAAGTTGTCAGAGTAACCAAGATGAAAAGTATATGAGACTCGACCTTTAAGCTCAGTGTGAGATTACAACGACTACATTGTCAATATTGGAATAAAATTTTATTCGCTGCAAAGAATCAGCATACAACCCCCAAACTACCGCCAAAATGATGACCAGCGTGTTACCGTTTACTGTACGTCGGAGGTGCCCCAGCTCTTGTCACAGGCAATATACCTAATCCTGGTCCATATCATAGGTCGAGCAGGCAGCCATGGCGACAGAGTACTGCCAGGGCTTCACTGACGGCATCAGCCCAGGCATGCAAGAGACCTGGCAGTGGACTCGCGAAAACTTTGACGATGCCGACAAAATGTCGTCATTGCTTCAGGGCGCGACGAACAAATTCCTTGCTCAGATTTTGCAGCCAAAGAGAAGTATGCGCGAACGGCCTCCTCTTGTTTGCGAAGAAAGTAAATTAATATCATATTTTTAGTCCTGGAAATTGGCAGCTACTCTGGTTTCAGCGCCCTCGCTTGGTATGAGGCAACCACCAAGCAACAGTCTGAGATTATCACTCTCGAGATTGAGCCGCGCATGATTGATGCTACCAAGCGAACAATCGCGCGCAACAACATGCAGGACCGCGTCACTCTGCTCGAAGGGCCTGCCCAGGACACGCTCAAGACTCTCCAGGGAACCTTTGACATTGTCTTTGTCGACGCCGACAAGGAAGGCTACGAGGGCTACGTTCGCACTGTCCTGGATAGGAAGTTGCTGTCTCCCAATGGCATCATTATCTGCGACAATGGTAAGTTGAGCAAAAGAAAGTACATAACATGACTGACCTTATGCTGCATAGTCTTTTCTCGCGGTCTTGCCATTGACACCAACGCTGGCCCCCATCTGCGCGAGGATCTTGTTCCCTACTGGATCGAGTGCGGCAAGGCCATGCGCAAGCTCAACGAGTTCTGCAAGAACGACTCCCGCATTGACTCGCTCGTTTTGCCGCTGTACGATGGCATGTCGATTCTCAAGTGGAAGCAGTAAGCTCCTGCACGAGTTGCGCTGGAAGTATTGGCATGGGTCGCACAGATGCTGCAATTTAGAAATAAAATTGACAAATATAAAACCGCTTGGTGAAGAAAATTGTAATCGCAGTAGATGTAATCCCGCGGCGCATTCTATGCATCGGTCAGATTTAATGGCAGGCTTCGGCCCATTAAAAGACTAGAAACTAATAAAAATCAAACATTCTACTCTTCTCAACATATGACATCTGGCTTTATGTCTGCATGTTGTGGCGTTGACAAGCGAGTTACGCAGTGACACTGATAATGGCACCTTCTTTTCTTCCTCTGAACTCTGGACCTCCAGCCAGCAAGCTCTGCAACGATGTTCTTTTACTCCAAATGCCCATTGAAATTCCAGCGGAGTGGAAGCAAAAGATCGAATCCAAATATCCAGGGATCGAGATACGGTCCAGGGTTCTGCGGTTGGAGCTAGGTCTGGAGGCCAACAAAATCGAGCCGGAGCTTTGGAAGGGCGTCACACTGGCGTGCCTCTATCTGACGCACCCGGCAGAACTAATGTCCAATGTGCGTTTTATACAACTGACCTCGGCTGGCGTTGATCGATGGATCCATCACGAGAGGTACAAGTCTCCGGACGTTGCAATTAGCACTGCGAGTGGCATCCACTGGTAAGCAACCTTCTCCAAGACCTAATTTGCCTCTGAAACTGCTTGTCTCACATCAGTATTTCTACTTAGCCCTCAAATTGCAGAGTGGGTCATGTCGACTTGGATTATGAGAAATCACAACCTCCTGCGCCACATTGAATCGCAAAAGGAGGGCCACTGGTCAACAGTCCGAGCCGAGACCAGAGACTCGGCAGGCATGCGTATAGGCATTCTCGGATATGGTTCCGTCGGACGGCAGTGTGCACGTCTCGCCACGGCAATGGGGATGGAGGTGTACGCCTTCACGCGAACGCCATACACCTCCGATAAGGCAGCCAAGAGCGACCACTACAGTGTCCCGGGCATGGGAGACCCGCAGGGCCAGCTGCCCGCCAAGTGGTTCCACGGCGAGTCCCGAGACGCCGTCAACGAGTTCCTGCGCCAGGAGCTGGACCTCCTGGTGCTCTGCCTGCCGCTGACCAAGGCGACCGAGTATCTGCTCGGGGCGGAGCAATTCGACATATTGGCGCAGGGCAAGAAGCGAACATTCGTCTCCAACGTTGCGCGGGGCAACCTGATTTGCACAGAGGCACTGATCGATGCGCTGCACCAGGGCAAAATCTGGGGCGCTGCGGTGGACGTGACGGATCCCGAGCCGCTGCCTGAATCGCATCCGTTGTTTAGCGCCCCCAATGTGGTGATCACGCCTCATGTGAGCTGGCAGAGTGTGAATAACTGGGATAGAATGCTGGATATTCTGGAAACCAATCTGGATCGTTTAGATAAGGGTGAAGAGCTTATTAACGTCCCGGATAGAAAGCTAGGCTATTAAGACATCTCGGTCATAGACTGGAAATTACATTGCCAAGATAGATAGAACTAAAATCAAACGCTATCCGGCTGCCAAAAGCAGCCTGGCGCGCAGAAAATACGCCCTCTTGTATATATCATCTGCCTTCTGTCGGTATATCATGTAATTCACGCCCTTCATTATTGTATCAGCCGTCTTTTCAAGCTCAGCAAGTATAGAGAGAACATTGTCTATGTAATCCAACACAAGGCGCTGCAGAAAGCTCGCCTTGACCACATCATCTACGAGGAAGCTGCCGACAACAAGAGACTGCTCAGTCCAGGGAAACTGGCGCTGGCTACGGGAGCTTGTGTCATAGGACTTCTCGTGCGGGAATCGAGAAGAAGACGGTCGCGAATGCGACATGAGGTGTCGTCGCGGGGCGGCGGCGACGACGGCGGCCGTTGCGGTCGAAGAACTTCGGTTGTGGTAGCCATTGGCGCTGCCTGAGCTGTCTTTGTGTTGCCTTTGCTGCTTCTCAAAGAGAGACAGTAAGCTGTCTAGGGACATGTATATAATCATGAGCAAGTTTTGGTTGCTGGGCACCTCCGTGCAGTGTCCGCAGTCAAGTGCCATACGTACTTTGTGCTGGAGCTCACGGTCGATGCACAGCAGGCCATCCAGCTGCGTGGCCTCTGCCTGGGACAGGTCAAAGTCACCCAGCTTGGTCAACAGCCCGGAGAGGGCCTTGTAGCATGTTCCGTCCTGCGAGCACGGCCTATTATTAGCCTGCTCTCGCGTGCCGGAGCCGACGCTCACGGTGCGTGCCGCAGACAGTGATGAGGTGTGGTGGCTGGACGAGGCTGTGGTCGGAGCCGACGGGGGCGGGCTAGCCAGTCCAGTCTCGGCAATTTCCTCAGAGACGCTGCTGATTGGCATGGCAGTCGGCAGGGCGCAAAGGCCGCTCAGGAGAGTCGTTGGTGGCTTGTTTTGGGCTCGATGCGTGCAGCCTCTCGGTTCGTGAGCATCGAATGTAGTGGAGGGGGACGAGAGCACTGAGCCCAGCGCGAGGTGGCTCATCTCGTCCGTTTCTGAGCCGGTCATAGCGGTTGGACCGATCTCTCCATGGCTGTAATCCATTGCCAGGTCTGACATGGTCGGCATCGCCCACATGTCCAGATCCAGGTCCAGGTCCATATCCAAGGTGGAGAAGTCACTGGCACTGACGCTCATGTGTAGATTTGCCATGGACAGCGCAGGATTCTGGGTTGGGTCTTGGGATTCAGCATTGCCCATGGGATGCACGGCAAGTATTGCACCACCTGGTGCGGCTGGAGATGCGGCCAATTCAGCCAGGGGCTGTTGCAGCCGTACTGGCGAACAGGTCGTTGGCACGTCATTGGCGGTGATGGTGTCTCGCGGTGGATGGTGACGATGAATCGTGCGACCGGGCGAGGCTTCCTGGGTGATAGTATCGCGGGGAGAGCGATTGGGTGATGAATTTGTAGTCGATAACCGGTTCGAAGTGGCCTTTTCCCGCTGCGCCGCAGCATTGTTGTCGCTGTTCTTGGGCGGGCGCCCCGTCCTCCTCAGTGGACTGTATACGCACTTGACGCCGCTCTGGGTGCACCGCCAGCACGAAGGCTTGCCTCTACTACATCGTACTTTGGACAGCTGGCAGTTATCGCATGCCGTACGTAGCTTGGGGCCATTTGTTGTCGTTGTCGTGGTAGTTGATTGTGCTAAATCGGTCATGGCGGTTTCAACCGCGGACTCTGGCTCTGCCTCTGGCTCTCGAGGCAAATCGTCAATGGGGCCGCGGGGCTGTCAATGAGGGAACCAGGCAGCCGGTATTATGATCTCTTGTTCAGGTGGGGGATAGGCAGCACAGCAGGCGTGCGGAGTAGAGAACTTTGGTAATTGCGAATTTACACAGCGACGAGAGAGACCGTTCTGACTAAACTGGGGGAAACAAGGCAGCGTCGATACGGGGACTCCCCCATGCATGAGACCTGGCCAATGATTGCCCCGGTATAATGTGAGTGAACCGTTTGATTTGCCATGGCTTCGTATCCTGACGCGCAGAAGCGAACGAGTTAGCCTTCGCATAGATCCAGGCCGATTGACTCTGGCCCTCCCCCCCGTTCATCCCTGCGCGGCGAGAGGACATGATTCGGCGATAGCGTCGCTTTTCACAGCAGATCCGGCCCGCGGTACACGTCCTTCCGTGCCCACTTGCCGGGGTCCGGGGCTAGCTTGCGAGGGCATTGGCAGAGGCTTATCTCTCATACCCCGCACGCTGTCACAGCGTCGAGGATCGCATTCCTTCATAATTTGGTGCTGAGAATTCTGGCCTCGAGTCATGACTCATGGAAACTCAACTAAGGTTTGATGTAGGCCTTGCATAAATCTCCCAATGCTGTGTCTGGGCTTTAAAGTTTTTTTTCCTTTTTTCTCGCCCCTGAGGCCACGTTCTGAACGTGCCATGCGGTGGCCCGGGCGCGAAAGATCATTTATGGGTGGATATAAGATACCACGCCATCTAGGAATTGAATTCCGGACGGATGTATTCGTCTGATTTATGACAAGCCTTGGTCCTTTGTGGCCTTCGACGCAACGGTCGAACCGCCGGGTCTGGAAGATTGCCCCGTGTACTACCGGCCCCCAATGTGATCGGCGACTTCACCACCCAACAGTTATGCTCTATGCCCTTGCCCTCATTCGTGGACCGGGCGGACATTTGGTCGATTGCCGTCAGCTTGTAGTGTAATACCGAGGGTTGGAGACGATGATCAACATGTGGCGTGCGCCCCAAAGTCTTCAATTCGGGTCTTTTGCCCAAAGAGGTACAAATTGTCGGAGCAATCCGCCCGCCCTCATCATGAAACTTGCCGTCTGGGTCTATTTGCAGCAGCTAATATAGCTCCAATAATGTGATCGACCTGCAGTAGTTATTTCAAGCAATATACAAGCTAATGCCCTAGGAAGCGCCGKGAGCGCCGGCATCTTGGCGTCACGCCACGACTGGACTGGAAAAATCCCCGCTGTTTTGTGCATTTGAGTCATGTACTTTTGTGCCTCCATGCTTGTAGTTGAATGTAAATCTTTGCGCTAGAGGCGGAAAACTCCCCCAATTGCCAGGATAGGGTACAGGATACGATTGCGAACAGGGATCGGCACGGGGCATCAACAGTGGCTTCCATTGACCTGACGACCCCTGGCAGGGATTAGCCTAATAGGGGTATTTGCATACAGGATGTAGGTCTGTTTCTGACTGAATGTCTCAGGGCTCTACCAACCAAGGCAGAGGGATATCGGCTCTGCGTTAGCTTGGATCATGACGTATCTCAAGCTGAGTCGGCCAGGCGGGCCAGGCCGCCGGCTCCGTACCCCTGTCTCTTCGGGCTGGTGAATATACTCACACCTTTGAATGTGTCAAGAAGAACCAAAAGTTCATGGACGCACTGGTTAAGCCGAGATAGCTTAACCCGGCGTGGGGAAAGTATGCTAAATACTTTTTCCCCCGGACCGTTGCAGCCAGAGGATAAGAAGATGTTTGAAGAAGAAACAGAAACAAAAGTGGTCATTTAGGACAGGCTACTTCTGCTTTCAGATACCCTCTATTTCCGTCACATATATTGATTGCATAACGCTTAAATTAACGCACAAAGTTACTACAGTACTTTTGCCCTCCCTTTGACGAAATCCGCATCACACCAGCAAAAACGTCGTTGGATCCTTTCCCAGAAATTCTCTCCTCTCAGGGGATCCCTCGTAGTTCATTTTTCCATCTAAGTAACATTGCGAGATGATCCGATACCTCTCCTTACTATCCGCAGTCTGTCTCAAAATGCAGGGGACTTTTGACCCATGCAATAAACATATCAAGTCGCCTATCTTCGCCGTCTTGGGAACGAGACCCACGTCATATCCGTCAGAAAGAAATAGCCTTTTTTGTTGCGCAATAAGTGCCCACTCGCGTAATTCCTCCAGGATTTCATACTGCTTGTCGCCGAACGCACTGGCATTATTAGTTCGCTTCTGGATCTTGTCTTCCTCCTCATACACCTGGATGATTTCGTTCATGTCATACTTTAGGGGCTGGTCATTGCTGAATGCCCCGTCAGCAAGAATGGTACGGAGTATTTTCTTGCGGTCACCGAGTAGTTCATGGGATCTCCCAGTACCCGTATGGATGTTAATGTGCTGTGTAACCTTTGCAGCGTGTGCTTCATATTGAAGCACATTTTTTACCCCCTGGAGCTCCTTTCTGAAATCTTCAAGTTCGAAATTCAAGGGAGAAAACCACTTTATTGTGCCAATAACCTTTCCCTTAACAATAAGGGTATCAATATCATCTGCTTCCTCCCATGCATGGGAGAAATTTCCTGAGGCGTTAAATGCACTGATGAAGTCCGGTGCTGTGATTGGCCGCCCGTATGGATAGCATTTCAAAAGGTCTGGAACCCATGATGGTATATCATATTTGCACGTTGCGTCGCCCCTTGCGGTGGCAAAGATATCCAGTGAGCTTGAGCTCTGGATTATAGATCTAGCGGCATTTATCCAAACAGTGCGAACGGGCAATGTGTAGTCAATCTCGATCTTGGGGATGCGTATTTTCAGACTCTCGAGTGAATCGAGTCCAGTAAAGGCGTAGATTAGGTCGACTTCTTTAGTGGCGTGTAGCTGTTGGAGTGCTTGCATCACAATGCCCAAAAAACTTGGTTTCACGTTGTCTCGTGGACAACTGGGTTCACCGCAGCCACCTCGCGAATGTTGGACTAAGTAGATGGTGTCGAATCCAACTGTTCTCTTGGCTATGGAACGCGAATATCCGCCAACGAAATTCTCAGCCGTGAAGACGGCGCGTGTGAGGCGGAAGAGATCCGTAAGTGGCAGGCTTAAGCTGCCGTATCTGACTTCAACTCCCTTTGAGACAACGGATTCTTCGAAGACCCAGACTCTGCTGAACCACGTTCGATTCAACAGCCGCTCAACTGCGTGTCGTCCCAATTGCTCTGGAGCTGGCAGGTCTGTAGGCCCCTTGATATCAATTAGCTTACTGATCATTTCACAGTCTTCCACCACAGATTTGGATCGTGTGGATCTGAGTTTCTCAAGGATTGTTGCAATGATGTCTTTGTCACTATCCTCTTCACCCAACCATATGAGTGTGCCCGTTGCCTTTCGGTAGATATCACCCATCTGCCGGACCTGCTGACTCTTTTCTGCCTTGTCCGTCTGATTGATGCAGATCTGGTCGGCCCAGACAAATCGAGACCGGCTAGGATGGCGTATTCTCCGAAGTGCCGCGTATAACTGTGGTGTAATATGTATCGCTTTACGATTTGCTGACTTTCCTTGAGAAGAGTCGGGGGCGGCGATGAAGAGTGGGAAGTCTTGCGCTTTGTCCACTCCCCATGCATACGAGATTGCCTCGTACGCTGGCGCCTTATCTAGAGAATGCACATGTAGCTTTCCGCAGACCATGTCACTATCCGGCTGATCAGGCGGCAGGAGCTCCAATAATCTGACCGGCTTCCCTTCACCCACAACCGGGGTGGTTGCTGGCAACCCACAGTATAGCGGGCTGTACTGGTGACGTTCATACTGAATCCGTTCCAATATAGCAGGTTTTGGAATCCGCGGCCCGTCGTTCGTCGGGATCTCTATCTTGGCATATCGATTTGTTTCTCCATACCGGTGCATCATACTTGCCAACACCGCTGCAGCATTATATCCAGCCGTTTCCACAGCCTCACCGATAGGATGAAAGCCTTTTATTAAGTCCACTAGTGGAAGAAACATGCCAGGTGTATTCTCCGTACTCGTATTAAGCTCTTATGTTTCTCAATGGATCCAGTTTTATCGGTGGAGGGAGAAACGAGCTTTCCGTGGGTATAGTTTCGACAGATATTTGTGATGTACCTGTAATAATCACTAGAAGTGTACGTATGGTGATATCCAAAGAGAAGGGATATTCCCAGAAGTCTATTTCGGGCAGGAATACTTCTTTTCCTAAGCTGTCTGAGAGACTGCAGATATAGGCGAAAATCGGTAATTTTCTGTACTCCTTGTAGAATCTTTTTATTGGATTGGAGTGTGGTGCCACTACATTAAGTATTCCATTGTAGATATGCTCTACTTAGGTTATTAGATTTGCTTGATCGAGATTCAATACTAGCTGTCTACCTATCCCAACCAATACGATTTACCTTTCCGTGGGTGGATGTTGTCAGGTTCTTGGTGCGTGGCTCCCAGTTGTCAAATTGATCCCAGCGATTTGAGGTTAACCCATAACAGGCAATTGCTTGGAGCTGGGTGCGGAAACCTTTTGCGTAAGGATTACAGCAAGGCCAAGTGTTTTACTTTACCTCGGACGCCGATAAGGATTCTAGATTCTGATCATTCGACCTTATGCCCATGGAATAGATTTGCATAGGTGATCACATACCCATGCCACTCATTGCTGCTACCGAAGAGGTTGAATATAGCTTCCTACACCAACCTCTAGGCCATGTGTAAGTAATAAGATTAGACTCAGCCCCACGTCATGACAACCAAGTTCAAAGCCTGTCAACGTTCCGACCCACATTGCCGATCACGAAAGCCAAAGAGAATCGTCAGTAATCCAAATGCCGCCGGGTCAAAGCAGCTAGTGATAATATTAATTTTAAGGCCGCCTCAATTGTAGGCAAGATATCCATCATACATACTTCCTCAAAACACGTTACCATTGCGAAATTGGGTTTCGGGTATTGGTGGTTCTACATTTCAATCAATACTGAGAGTAGGAAGAGCCATGGAATGTGCCAGCTTGCAAAATACGCCGACAACCGCTACTACACTAATTCTGTCACTGTGCGATAAATTTCAACGCAGATAGGCTGGAAGCCACGGTTCAAAAAGGTCGAATTTCCAAAAAGCTATTCATAAACCTAAGCCATCTATCTTACGCCGGAAATTGAAAATACCATGTAGAAGTCGGCGCCACAACCCAAATTTCTCTGAATAGTGACCTTGTGTGATTAACGGCATGTTGCCGCTCTTCTTTATCCTGGAACCTTTCAAATGATGTCCCTGTGACAGAGATATCTGACAAGTGACCTACAGCTTGGGCACCTTTTCGATTGCTGGAAGACGTTTGCGGAATATGCATACGATGAAGATTGAGTCAGGACACGCCTATGATCATGCGACTGATGCAACATGCATCATCAGCGAATTGATTTGAACTTATGAGTCCAGAAGTTCAGCGTAATCCTGATGTAATCTTCCCATGATTCAAAGAGCACGTTCGAGCTTTGGTGCTGTCCTTTGGGAGCCAGGCCATTAGTAGGTCCCAAAATCTGACAGGGCGCGTGTCAATCCACATCTTCATAAGTAATCTCGACCGGCGAAACAGAAGTGACGATAGTTTACAGATAAGAGGTGAGCAAAAGCAGCGTACGCCAAACCAAGTCATCTCAGTAATTCCGTGGCTTTCTGATGACGAAAAGGAACCTTGCCATTCCAATCCAGCGGTAATGACATCTAACTCCTTCACCTCTTGAATAACTCCCCTCAACTAGGGATTATATATCTTCAAAGTTAGAAATACCTCTCACACATCTTGGACATAGTTTGATACACTCAGACTCACTCCCAGAGCGTTTTCAAACCCTGACCGATATGTCCCAGGACAAGGTAGAGCAGACAGCATGTGGTCGATGGGCTTTGGATGTCCTTATAAAGTAAGTTAAACTTCTAGAACTAAATTTCTATTCCTGACAATCACTAGAATTCGGGAACTAAAAGAGTTCTCGGATCTTACTATCACCTGCAATGGCACCAAATTCCGGGTTCATAAGGCCGTCGTCTGCTCACAATCACCGGTTTTGCGCGCTGCCTGTGCTGGGAACTTCAAGGCAAGTAAGATAATTAGGGAAATTGATAAAGGCGCTAAGTCATGGTAGGAAGCACAATCAGGAGTATTCGAGATGGTCGATGACTCCAAACATCTAGTCCAGAAACTTGTCCAGTATTTCTACGGTGGAGATTATACCGGATTGTCTCAAGATGATAAAAATGCCTACCCCGAGATGTCGGAACTACAACTTCATGCAAGAGTCTTTGCGCTAGCGGATAAATATGATGTCCAAAACTTGTGTGATATATCTGCAAAGAAATATTCCTCCAGGCTCCAAGATCACTTCGACATCGTCGAATTTTTGAACTCTATCCCAGATGTCTATAATTCGACACCCCCACAAGTCCAAAGATTGAGGACCATTGTCCTATCTTCCGCCCGAAAGAGATTGCAAAATGCTCTGCGTGACAGCTCACATTCCCAAATCTATGACTCTATTACATCACAGGTCCCAGCTTTTACGAAAGACTTACTTAACTCATATATCACGTCCCCAATACGTGCTCATTGCCACAAGTGTGGGCCAGATATGCCCATGCTCGTGCAGCAAGGAAAATGCCATAAGTGCGGCTGGATAAATGGGATATAGATGAGAAGGTTAAGTTTATCCTCTTTCAGATTACGGACCGCTTTCTACCGAGTTTCGAGTCAGCTAACGAAGGTACTACGCCTCTGCTTCTCCTTCTACTACTGCTTAGCTTGTTAGTGCTCTGCTTCTCTGCGTTCTTTTCTTTGCTATGATTATGATGCGGGTCATTAGTCTATGTCTCATCGCGTTATCCTTTGGCGTACCTATACATCATCTATGTTTATCACTCCAGTGGATCGCAGTGAGGGTTCCGTCAGCCAAACTTCACAGGGTTGACTTAATAACGGCTTAGTTGCATGAAGTCTCGACCTCAAGGGAAGCCCAACCTATCTTAACATCAACTACAAGGGTTAAGATGCCGCGATGCAGTCGACTCAAACGCCAGTTAATACGCCCGGTCCTTAGGGGAGCCCGTATGCTCCGACAGACGATATAAGGCACATGACTTTTGTCTAATATTCCCCGTGAAACCCTTTTAATTATAAGCATAGCACCTTCGTGGCATTGATGCAAAACTGTATATTAAATTTGAAAATGTGTGAGATAGGTGCAGCATTAATCTCATTATACCACTGGTTCTACCACAGTACTTATGACCCACAGAGTTGCGAACCTTATGACGTTGTAAGCTTAAATTTGAGAAGTTTGTCCCTAATTGGACGACGGGTAGATTCATTTGGTTCTCGCATTTCATGTTTGCCTCATTGATTCTGAGTGGCATGACCCTCTATTGGTACTGGTGATTAACTCGGGAATCTATTCTAAATAAATTGCCCACAACTGTCCCGAAACCTATGGCTTGTCCGTTTTCGTTACACAAAAATAAAATGTACTGAAGCTATAGCAGAGGAAATATTCAAGTTCCAGTTTCTTTCTTTGGCATTTCAGAATCCCTCAATTGTCTACATCTGAGTGCGTCACTGCATATATATGTTTCCACCATGGCATCAACACGGACATTCTCGAAAAAACTCGACCAAGTTGATCTAGAATTGATCAAGCTGATCAAAAATGAAAAATCACTGGAATACTACAATGCATACATTTTAATAACACATTTTGAAATGGGATCTGCGCGTCTTAAATCTCGTCTCTACCGCACCAAACCATCATGGTGGAAACATGGATACACCAATCTCTGGAATGACCTTATGGGAACGCGGGCAAAAGCAGAATTAGAACTCGCTCGAGCCAGAACGGTCTGTCAACTCGACGACAATAATCATGCAAGTGACCACACGCGCATGAAGCAACAGAACACAATGGACTTGTGTATTCGCCTGCGAGGGATTCTTCAAATGTTCAATGCTGTGGTATCACAGTTTGATGACCTAAGACTCTTGCTTGGTGTCAAGGATAATAAGCGCAGGTTAGCAATGAGGGATGATCTGGAGATGGTAAATGAGTGGGCGGAGGATGTGGTTGGTTTTCTGCAAAGACGAGAATCACCAGGCATTCCACAAGTTCCTCCACAACCCTACAACAACCCCTCTGCCAACAGCTTGAATCAAGCCAATGGCGTGACAGAAGCCGGTCAAATCTCACGACATGAGTGTGCAGATAATCGGGAACCATCAAGTAGCCAATTGCCACCGTTGCAACGAGATGACAGAAACGGGTCGCCGCAACGAGAGAGTTCCAGGAGCCAGGGAGAAAGGCCGGTGGGGAGCTCAGAATGAAGTGTAGCATCGCAAGGATAAGAAGATAAAACTATAATCGAATAATATATTTCCGTTACAGTGGATGTCACGAATTGGCCATGAGTCTATAAATAATGCATATTTCTGTCTTGGACTGGCTTGATACCCTCCGAGCAAATTCGTATCTGATATAGAAGTGGGAAGGCTGATATCAAAACTTAGGACCCTATAATCTTAACAAGTTTTTTAACGTAACCCACAGGCGGGTGGGCCTCAACGCGTTTCGGACATGATCAAAATTCTCAAGCGATTTAAACCGCCAACATGCCTCCAAAAACAGTATCAAAAATTCAAAGATTCAGTAGAGCAAGAAGGGAGAACCCTACTTGCGATATCTACTTGGAAAGATAAGCAACTCTGGAATATTCATGAGGCTTCACGCATTTAAGATGTGGACTTTTTGGAGCTGATGAACGCGCCAACTCAAATAAATTAACCATAAATCCTGCAGGCTTTCCAGAGTTGCTACACTTTCGGTCCCTGACTCAGCTGCCCTTGCGTCCACGACTTGCTTCTGCAATACTGTAGCTTCCACCCATCGACCTTGTTCGCGGTATATTGATGCAAGGACGCTCAAGGATCTCAAAGTATTTGGTGCTGTTCGCCAAGGGTTTCACCATTTGCTCGCCTCTCACCAAGTGCGAGTTTGGCTGCCTCGGGCCACTGACCACCCTTATTGCATACAGTGAAGTGAAGGGTGGACGGTTCTGCTCCCAGAAATAGTTAATCAGGCATGGCTCCTGATACCAAATAGGCATCTTGAGTTGTTGAGTGCCAGAAATGATATTCTCAGTTGTTGGCATATGCCATTTAAGCTCCCCGTCCATCTTATGAAGTTGCGACTTAAAGATACTCTTGCATGCCCAGGCAGTGATGTTACCAGCACGGAGGATAGTGATTAGATAGAGTCGAATAGGAACATCCTCCGTAGCCTAGATGACCTTAACATAGTGTTTATGCTCATAGATCAGCCTATAACTAGTATACATTGAAGTATGTTATATCTCTCAAACTCTAGCAATAGAGTATTCCCAGCCCTGAATAGAGTTGCATTCGGGTATGAGCCTATATAGGGAACCATGGGATCGGGTCAAACTAGGCTAGCGGTGGATTCGCCCCAGGATTTGATCCAACTCATGTGGATTATGGGAAATCACAGCGTGGGATCCATCTCTCCCGTTCTCTGCTAGTCACTTCTTTAGGAAGGGGCCGCTGTAGCGAAACAGGCATATAGCCAGATACTTGCCTGGTAACCAGGTACATAACTAACAAAATAATATAATGATATCATTGTGCGTTGATATATATACTAGGTAGGGCGTGTATATAGACCAGATATTCATCTTTACCTAATAATGGAGTGATTTCCCGTGGAGCTTACTAACATTGCATATGCAATAATTAACTATGCCATGGTAGTGTCTACTGTCTAAGACGCATTCCAGCGTCTAAACTTCCCTCCCCGACTGCCCACCTTGCTAGGCACAATTTATTATTGGGTCGCCTGTGGCGTATGTTGTCAGCGCAGGAGATTCCAGCTTGCATTGGCCGAATGAAGCTTCTAGTAGATGGTCCCTTTCGCTGTTCTGTATCAATGCCGGCGAAAGTTTTTATGTCCAGGTTATGAAATCATATCTAATTTAGACGCAAGTCCCTAGCCACATAGGCGGCCCCTATTGGGCATACACCAATATTGTTTGCCTGCCGCGGTCATAGTTTAGAACCTCAGAGCGATTTCTTACCGTCCAAACCCAGATCATATGTCTAACGGCTCCTAGCCTTGACAACTATGGGCAACGTCAATTTGTATGGTCGAACATGGACTCCGCCTACGGCACCATTACTAGGGGACGAAAAGCGGAACGTTAATGGTGGGTGATATTTTGGGCGTAGCAAACATGATCATTGTGAAATGCATAGGTCTGCTATTGGCTGTCTTCGTGGGATTATCCGGGGGTCTGAATGAAGACCAATAACTGGGTAGATTGGAAAAGTGCCCACTGTGGGACGGCAAGGTATAGGTATCACAGCCCTGACGTACACCTCCCCTGAAGGCGTCACCACACAGCCGTAAAGCCCTCCTCCAACGCCAAATGCCAAATTGTAGGTCCCCGGCCATCCTGCACAAATTAGATCCATGTTACCCAACGTCGTTATACAGGCACATGGAGCTAGCTGCAACGGGTCCCTTCCCCAGGCACCTGTAGAACACATAACAAGCAGTCCAGCCATCCGCACAGCTGAAATTGTTGCACCTCGGAATTTTTCTTCAATTTCACCGGTTTCTCTGGTATCGAGAGCCCTTCCAGCGTTTAGGGCGTCGTACAGTCTTGTTGATAGCACCAAAAAGAGAATTCCGGCTTCAGTGCCACACTCGCGCAGGTATTCAGATTCTTGGTCGTCCGAGGCGTTCAATATGTTCCTCCACCATGCTTGGATTACCCACACTGGTAGCCCCTCCGTAAATCTAGCAACAAATCCGATCGCTGCACATGGATCATCAAGAGAGGGAAATGATCGTATAGTCACAAGCTCATCAGAGACTCTTAAGAAGGATGTCCCTCGGTCACTTATCAATACACCAGTTTGCCCATACTGGAAACGGCTGTAAAGGCTGCGAACACTGGGTTCTATCCCAGGAACCTCGCCAGATGGAGATTCTGTCAATGTATCCACAGCAGTGTCATGGGTGGCGCCCTTTGGAATTGCGCAAGGTAATGTGCACTGGAAGTGGGATTCATAAAAAAGTGAGACCGTCGTGAACGCAGATTCCCAGTTTTCGATTGGCCTTGGGAAGTCTACTCCAGGCCACACGCTTAGAAGGAGATCTTTTGGGTCGGTTGTCTTCCGTTTGGTTTCAGCGAGCCTGTTGAGTGATCTGGACAGTGTAGGGCTGTTATTAGCATAAGCAACCTGGATACCGAGCAGGAATGCCATCTGTGCTATAATCACTTTTAGTACAAGTACTGCGGCTGTATCTGTTGTCTCATCAGGGCTGTTCATCTTTGTACTCAAAACCTCTCCGAGATTTGTAAAGGCTGGTCGATCTCGAATAAGTATTTCGGAATTATTGGAGCTCCGAGGGATACATGGCCCAGGCGTCCCGCCGACATGGACGACACGTATGCGACGGGCGTACAGCGCTTCCTGGCGTGTCCACACACGTGTAAACCAGCGGAGTTTTGGCAGGTACCACGCACATTCTGCGACATGACTGGTGAAGAGCCTTACGAGCTCTTTGGCCGCTTCGTAATTCAACGAGCCAGCGTTCAATAATCGATTTCGCATGTCGTTGGCATAATTACAATCGGGGCCAGGTAGCAATACCACTACACTGCAGCGACTGTACACAGTACTGAATGTAGAGATAATGCTCTCCGTGGCCTCACCTGGTTGCCTCGCGATCTGGTCCATCCACAACCAGGAATTGGCGCTGAGCCTGGCAAGCACAGAAACAAAGTCTGGTGTTGACCATTCCTTCCCTAGGATGATCTTACACTCACCCTCGCCCGGAGATACATCGCCTGTATAACGACCGACCGCCCGTTCTGTCAGTTCTTCCTCCCCCCATGCGTAGCTCAGGGCAATAACGTTATTCAGGTCGTCTGTTTTGCGTAGTTCAACTTGTGCTCTCCCGGATGGATCAAAGTTTAGCTTGAAGCACCGAACTCGTTTGCCTTTCAGCTCAGGAATTGCCCAATGTTCATATGAAAAAAAGTCCTCTAGACCAAAATTAATAGACGGAATCCCACCAATGCGTATAATTGACTCCACATGCGTGATACTAGCAACATTATCTAGTATAGAAGGCGCTGCTCCTGCGAAGTTGGTAGCATTTTCGACACGAGTTGCTTCTATTTCTCTTTCCGTATCTGAGAAACCAGCATCACTCTCCTCGGACGTGCTTTGACCCATAATTTACCTAAAGGAGCACGAAGGTTTCTAACAGTGAATATGAAGTAGTTTTTACCGCCTGGATGTTTCGATAGTTGAATATTATGGTGGGAGTCAACGTAGAAGCATTAATATCTATGAAGCAGTAAGGATCTTTTAGAGGGCATTGTAATCACATTATAGCTCAGTCCAGCCTCTGTGAGTACCATTTAAGTTTAACGTATGAGTATGACTATCATGTGATAAGCGGGGTTTGCATGACTTTGATCTTCCAAACCTTGACTGATATCATACCACTATATCGAATTGTAATGGCCTGCCTTGTCTTGACTCGCCCTTGTCAATGTGGTTAGATTATAGTTGGCTAACCCCAGTTGACTGTTAACAAAATCAGCCTCAAAACGTCGTATACCCACCGAAAGCGAATTTTCGTTACTTTAATAAAAATAATTACACAATGGTCAACGCGACTTTCCCCGATCAAGTTTAGATGGCCATTTCTGCAAATGACGAGTTACATCTCAGCTGATTATCATCCTCGGCTCAAAGCGCGAATCACAGCCTGAGTGATTTGCGGAAGTTCGCCTTCCGTCATCACCTCCAGGTTCTGCCGAGATATCGCTTGGCGGTTGTGATGGAACAACTACACTAACTGTTTCTTTCGGTTCTTTTTTGGAAACCCAGTATAACAAAGTTCGTTCTTTTCTACAGTGAATACAAACTGGCTCCGAGATGGTTCGCAGATCATTACAGTGCACCCAACCAATAAACAGGAAAGCAAGGCCTTTCTAGAATAGCCCGCACATCCACAAGATCCGCATGAACCCTCTTCAGTAACATGGTACAGTAAAATCTACTCTTGTACAACATAGTTTTAAGATAGTAGTTGTCAGGTGGAAGTGGCGTGTCCAAAAATGGCATTTCATTTCGAGAGGCCAACTTGTCACAATGATGCAATGGCGGAGGCTTGCTAAGCATACTCAAAGAAAGAGCAAGGCATAATTTGCTGCATAGTCCTCTATCTCTATCTCAAATGGAACAGAACTCCCGCTCCCTGACGCAGTTTACTGTCGAGGACAATGGCACCCTTCATAAACACTGTACGACAATCTATATCTTTCAACGCCACAATACCATCTGAGGAGTTCCTCAAACAGTGGAAACATCCAGCAGAGGTGTTCTCGGTCTTGCTCATTCTCGGTGGTGATGTTGTTTGGCGGTCATTAGGACAAATTGCTGGCGGGAGTATTGGGCCGCCATCCTTCTCTTTTGGTTAGATATGAAGCTTTCCTTCAAAATATCCCTATTCTCATTACCTTGGCTTTAGGTTGGGTTGCCTATTCCATGAATGCTCTTGTCTCAGCAGTTGGTGAGAATAGACTCATGCCTCTTCCAGACTGCCAATGCATTACGATCAATGGCGAGACCGGATATGTGAGGGCAAACTCCAGTTGGGTCATCGGAAGACTAGTTCGAGATTACGAATTTTGGATGCATGGTGATGTCAAATCAACCTTAGACAATATCATTGACAGGAGATGGGAAGAACTGAGAATCAAGGCTCATGAGCAATATGAACCTGAACCACACAGACCAACACAGGTTGGCCTCTGTGTCTCAATATACAAAGCGACTCAGAAACAGAGATCCCTAGGTCTAACTAGTCCTGGGATTTTATACACCAGTCTTGTTGTCGCCGTCTTGCAATTAGGTATTGCAGCAATCCCATGCGGTATTTTTGGTGACTGGAGTATCCTTATGATCACGGCTTGCGGCATTGTGCTCTCTGCGTTAACTGCCAGCCTCCCTCAATGGAAAAAAGAAAAATGGGCCTGCAGATGCCTTCCACCAAGCTCCACCAAGAAAGTCATCCTCTCAAGGGGCAATGGAAGTCAACATGCCATCGTAATCATTGGCGCTGAGGGATTTCCAGACTTAGAAGACCTCTCATCCGGACAGACTAATGTCGACATGTCGACTTCAAATGCTACTCGGGCTATTCTGGGACTTTTCGCTCTTTTGTGGATCCTTTTGCTGATTACTGCGGCGGGAATCCAGCAGAACTCTTGGTTTCTTGTGGCTGTGGGCGGAGTTGGCATTCTACAGAATATTACTTTCGCAGGGATCCCGCGACATCCTAGGGCCCACGGCGTCCACATTGAGTTTGTGGAAGTCATTGCCCAGGAGAAAGTGATGCAGACTCTATATAAAGTGGAGGATGTGTACCCTCGCTTAGGTTGGAGCATGCTGTCAACATTTTTTCCTAGTAAATTAAGGCCAGATGAAGAGAGAAAATGGGCGGAGTACGGGGAACGGTGTGCTTGATAGCAAGGGACGTAAATTGGAGCATTCCAACGGTACAAACACGTCTACTAGAATCTATCTCCTATCTGAAATAACTGCGCCAGATGGGCAACACGACTTCCCGGACAACTCTGCATCTGGAGCACAAGTAGACGATAACAGTTATCAGGCGGAAATCAACCCAGCTGCGTATGGTATCAACGCAACGGCTCCATCATTTGAAGAAAGCTTCAGCAATATCTACGATAGTTGCAGTTCAGACGACAAAGAGAATGTGCAGGAGAACGCTGATCGTACCGCACCCCTTCCTTGCAACGATCAGGAAGGGGCGGTGAATGTATCTGACAAGGAAAGTAATCACCCTGCGAAGCGTCACAGGGGAAATGGAAGAGAATCCAAGTCTTCTAACACTACGCCTCTCCAGGTGCATCCAGCTCCAGACCAGGCGACTGAACTCCAACCTCCAAATCCTGCTGCTGAAGGCACTCGACTTGTTTCCATGAGAACCATGTGCCCTTCAACTGGAAATATTTTGGCACAACCGGCGGTCAAGAGAATCCTACCAGCACCGCTCTAGCAATTTTTCATGTCGAGACAGCCAAGGGTCCTCAAACAAGAGCCCAGGCAAGGCCGAAGCAGCGTCGCAACCAGTTCATAATTTAGACGCAAATCGTCCCTCATCTTGCAAAACCCAGCTGTACTCAGAAGCAGAAGACGATCTCTTGCGGAAATTAGTGGATCAAGACCTCTCGTGGGACAAAGTCAAGAACCGTTCAGTCAGCACTTTGCCGGGACAAGTTTGAAATCTCCACAGATGCGTTGGTCGAGGAACCTGAAGTTTACTGTACCGTTGCCTTCGACAAGGTGCTCAAAACGAAAGGGGACCCACCAAAATTAATTCTACTTCCGTCACCTATACGAATGCGTTGACTATACGCATTTGCAGGTAATTCAGTTCGCCAGAAGGCGGGCTGGAAGGGGCAATGTCCGGTGACCAGCTGTGGAAGATCAGGATTGTATCAGATAATAACACATTAATGAGGATGGGCTAGTTTTCACCAGTGATTGGATTGAGTGCCTTGCCAGTCAGGCTCGTCCAACCTTATAGTTCCACTAGGGGAGCAACACGTAGTCGTCATGCAAGCCTGCCCCAAAAAGAGCTAGTCCCTTCTTTTCGTTTTCTCTCAGCCTGATACCTACAACGCGTCGACGCGTCGCAACTCCTCCAGAACAAGACTCTCAGGAAGAGCATGGCAGGGATAGCATTGACGTATACGAGCATCCCAAGTTGTCCTAAGATGAGGCAGCCAATTAATCGTTCTTAGGCAACTCATACTGATATGCAAGTAGGAGTCATGATGGCATGGGTGCGTTTGTGGCATCGTTCCCTTCTATCTGGGGATGGGGTACTTAAACTAAGAAGACAACCTTCGATTATCCTGAAATTTCTCTTACTTTCATCTTCAGCGACGCTTTCGCTGTTTTATTTTTCCTTATATTTGCCTCTCTTACCATGGCGTACAAACGCTTTTACAGAGTTACGAGCGATACTTCAGCTGTCAAGTATGAGAACGGGGTGGGATTTGTTGCTGGCGATACGACTTGTGTCCGCTCGTTGTCTCCACGGACCTACTCCGAGAAGCGCGAGGCCAAAGAGCAGTTTGAACGACATATGGACTGGGGTAATAGAGAGCTCACGCCGTTTATTTCCGCGTACTCCCTGAAATCAAGAGCAGAGGAAGAGGCGGAACGTCGCGCAGAGGGGGATGAAGATGATGTGGTCCTGTGGACCATTGAAGTGGAAAGGTCTGAGCGGAGTGTTCAGTGGGAGGAGGCCTTTGTTTTGGAGCATGAGCTTCAGGCACAAATCCCTCACCAGGGGTTGCATAATGCTGAGCACGAGGTTCTGTTCCTTCATGAAATTCCAAGGAGGCTGGTTGTTAAAGGGACGAAATTTATATGGAAGCATGGTAGGTTCATATCCAAAATAATGAAATATTCGAGTCTATTCTATATTAATATGTTTCACAGGGGGCATTTGGGTCAAGGATTTTCCGATTAGAAACCGCAATTAGGGAGGGTGCTGGTTTGGCCAAGAGTTCGTCTTCGTTCTTCGGGTCTGGCAGCATCAGAGGATAATGTTGCATTGCATACTGCCATAGCAGTCGCAATCCAAGGTCGAGGCGTTCCGTACTGATCGCACGTGCTCTCTAGGTATGGATCGCGCAAGCTGAGCCAGTGTTTGATGGACATCGTCCAAAGATCATATAATTTTCTCTGCTCCTTTTATGAATATAGTTCTGTGTCGAGAGATGAGGAGTGACAACTGCGTGACGTCGCCAATCAAGTCGAGTTACCTCTCCAAGCAACCACCCATGCCCGTAATTATGGTGTATATGTACTTGTTGTCAGTCTCTAGTAATAATGCATGCTAGTGTGGTTCGTTCGTCCCTCCGTAGTGTCAGCTTCCTATGAAAATTTGCGTTTAGTGACGGCGTACGTGGATATGCTCTATAGTATTCAGTGGATTACAACTTACCATAGAAACTCCTATCTCAGCAACCAAACCTCTCCAATGTCGGAGAAGCAGCACGAACAATCGGTACATTTACACCTGATATAGCGTATTTTGTGGCAGGAAGTCGGTCTCAAGCCTAGCTGGAAATAGGATACGGCGATGAGCACCGGAAACAATTACCAACACAAAGAACATCACCAGCCCCTGAGTCAGGTGAATTGGTATATGAAACAACACCGCTCACAATACCGCTCGAGTCTAGTATTGCAAATAATCGGAAAAATTCTTGTGTCTCGCGTCATTTTGCGCCCGTCTTGAGGTGCGTGATCCTTTGTACTGATTTAGCAGCATCGCGCTTTTCCATAAATTGCTCTTCTCATATCTCGCTGCAGATTTTGAAACAAGCCAGTCTGTGCCACCGATCAAAGTGTTGGCTCAATGGCTGGCTTATTGGATGCTGTTCCCTGCGCTTGCCTGGCAACGCTACGACGGACTGTTCGTTGCACTTACGTGGATGATAGGCAAGTGTCTCGCTAATCTTTAGCGCCGAGTTGCTGATGGGTTACTTGCCATCCTTGAAGTTAAGAATACGCACGTCATGGACCGAGCAGAATATAGCGACGCAATTGGGAAAGGCCGCATCGGTCCCAAACAGTATTTGGCTCTCGAAGCAAGCCCAGAAATATTTGGAGCAATGCGCAGACATTGCGGTTTTTGATTGGAATGCTATGTTCATCTTCAGCTTCACTTTCGAAAAATCTCGCACTCCCGGATCAGTGACGGGTGTCTACTTTGACGAATCCGACACTGTACCTGCAAATAAAGACCTCCCTTTCCGTCTTATGCTTCTCGGTTTCCTGACTCGGGCTCTGAGCAGGTACGAAGGTCTTTGAAGTGAGAAAGCGACGTGATCGCTGAGGCTGCGGTTTTTTGTCGCCAATTCCCTGTGACGTACGAGGATCAGAGTCATGCCGTCGGCGTTTTCATATGTTTAGGACGTAGGCTGGGTAGCTAGTACTACTTAGGTCCCCAAATCCATGTCTGTCATATTGTTCGCCAAATATTTCTTGGTCATCGTTTCTTCCATTTATTAGTTAACTTACAGGACCAGAATGATGATATCAGCTTCCTGGCATCCAATGAGAGATGACACACAGTTATCCTAGCAAACTGTGGCTACTGAGGGGTTTGGCCCACACCCTATTCTCTTAGTCTATAATAGTGGCTGGCATCTGGTTACCTAGATTTATGGTGTGTGCACAGGTCTTCAGAGAGATATACTGCTCCCTTCTCATTGGTTAACGTCCTCTCTATTGACAGAGCTTGCTCTTTCTTCTCAACCACGGCCCATAAGCTCGGAATACAAGAGGTATTGGAATCATGATCGCAGCCAAACACCCAAGTAGAGTACAAGCCCATTGAATCTTCATATTCGCAAACATCTGCTTGGTGAAGAGTGGAAATACGGCAGCAAACGGTGAACGAAGGATGATGTTGGCAGCAATGGCTGAAGCAGCTCTATGAAACTGAGTTAGATCTGCTACAGCACCGATGGTAGACTTGAAGAAGCACTTACAGCGGTAGATAAGCGTCAATGATGTAGTTGAAACATGGAAGAAAGACACCTACAATTCCGAATCCAATGAATATTCCCGCCGCGGTGGGTGCGGCCCAGTGGATTGCAGGTGTGAAGCCAGTCCAACCAAACCTGTAAGTAACAAAGATCAGCATAATAGCCAGAAACAAATATCCCCATAACTCACCAGAAAATACCAATTGCAAATATTGGGGCTCCGAGTATGGCGTGCCCCAGACGCCATTCGGGCACGGGTACATTCTTGTTCTTGGCCAGCTTCCGTGCATAGGTCGTCTGCTGGGAAATAATAAGAGCGCATACTAGCGCTTGACCAATGATCAGCCCAATGAATGGCAGACCATCAACCCCCGCACTCATTCCGTAGACATGTTGGAAGACATAAGGATATGCCTCAAGAAGCGCATAGACCAGAGCGTAGATAAAGGACATGTAGACGGTAAGAAGCAGGATGATTGGCTCGGTTATCAGCAGCTTCAATGGTCGCGTGAAGTACTTGTCCATGAGAAGCATGAAATCCACCTCAATCTTTTCTTGCTTGGCATGGATACCCCAGTTGCCAGTCTGTCGACGAATGGTGGCAGCTTTTGCCATGAGAAGGCACGGTGCATATGTTTCTCCCATGAAGAACACCGAGAGTGCACCGTTCGCAAAGCTCATAATTGCTGGAATATAAAGAGTCCATCTCCAGCCCAAAGAGCTAGATGCTATAAATCCACCAGTAAATGGGCCGACGAATGGACCAGCAAAGACCGACAATGCGTACACCGAGATTGCCACACCACGATAGGTGTTGCTGAAGACGTCTGCCAAGACACCAGGCACAACCGAGAGATGACTTGAACCGAACACCCCGGCAAAGAAGCGGCAGATGATCAACGTCTGGATATCCTTGGCCACCGCGGATGCGATGGAAAAAGTGCCAACTCCGAGAATGCCAATGATCAAGGGCCACTTTCTTCCACGCAGCTCAGAAGCGGGTGCCCAGATCATGGGCCCAAATGAGAAGCCAACTACATATAGCGTCGTTCCAAGTGCTCCAACTTCTGATCCGACACCGAGTTCTTTGCTGGCACTATCGATTCCAGGGGCGAAGATGGCGCTGGTCAATGTAACTATGAATGTCCCGGAACAGACCAAAAACGAGATGACCAGCCTTCAACTATTAGTATATTTCTCTAGGGCCTTGTCAAAATAAACATACTTAACAGAGAATTTCCAGTTATAAGGGTGTTTTGGATCGTCAGGCCCATCGAATTCAACAATATAGTCTTCGGGATGGGGAAGTGGTGCTGGAAATGACCTTCCCAGTCCCATATATAGCTTCTCGCTCATGGTGACTTTGCAAATTGCCCTAGTCAGCTTCTTTATGCCTGCTTTGTTTGCCTCGTTCTGAGTACTTATGTTGTCGGTAGGAGCATCGAATTTGGTGAGAACGAGGATCAATCAGAAATTGACGGTCGAATCCTGTCTGTATTTCAAATCCTCTCGCTCGCGCGTGTCATTCTGCCGGTAGTCAGACCTTTTATCTCTTTGGAGGCCTCGACAATAATTTGGGTTTGTTAATGACGGCTTGTTTCCTAGCCAGGGCCGCTAATCCCGCAAGAGCCGCAACGAATCAAGTCGCTAATTTGCCACAAATCTCAACACAGTATAAACATTTTTGGTGAAAGGACGAGAACTTCAAATATCGAAAATGCCACGGCTATGCACAATACTTCAAGGAAATGAAACAAGATCTGAAGAACGCACCAAAGGCATGTCTCGAGGTTCTGTAGAGCTTGACGTCAAATTCCTTCCGGATATTGAACGTCATTCGAAAATACCGAGGAAAAAGAAGATAGAATACATTCTCCGAATAATTTACACGTCTCATCCGGATCAGGTTAATTGAGAACCATCCGTCATATCTGTGTTCAGAAACTGGTCAAGGTCAACTCTCTGCAAGCCATGCAAATCAGCGACGAGCGCCCCAAGCCAGGAATATTCCTCAAAACTGCAATTTAATTGCGGCAGATTCTCGAATTGCCTTTCCTGCTGGTGGACGTTGAGAGCCTGCCCAAGAATGGCTATGTCGTCCTTCCTGCGTCGTTGATGTAGCAAAACCAACAAGCAGGCTGTATTGTATGCCTCTCTCGTCGTTTCCGTGTCGTAAGTAGAAGCAACCAAGCTTAGGGTCTGCATTGCTTCCGGAAGCATGGCTAGTGATGACCGCGTATCCATCGTGAGAAGGACACAGATGATTTGAAATGGCACATTCGCAACCTGGTGCCATGGCATGCAGTCGAGGACCATACTCCGTGCACAGCCAAGTCCGTTATGCAATAACGCTAGGATCTTGTCCGCTAAGTCAGGGGAAATATCAAGGTTCTGAGTATGGATTCGTCGAAGCATGCAAAGCACAAGATTGCATTGGGTGAGAACTGATGGCTGATGGGTGTAGGTCCTGTCCAGGAGCTTGGAGAGTGTCGAAGTGAGATCCGTCTCATCTTTTGACCTTCCCGGGTCTAAACTAACTGACACGGATAGAAGACCTAGGACCTCGTCTGCATAATCCCCGGCTTTGGGCGATGGGGGTAACGGCAAATCGTTTGTCTGAAACGATACTCGTGACAGACCCAGATCATATGAAGTCCACATATTTAAGTGATGTGCAACTCCAACCAGTCGTGCCCTAATGTCCGAATCACACTGCGCACGGTGGGGAAGGACTGAGTCACAGGGTGGCTCCGGGTGGAGCCCCGCGGCCTCGAGCAGGTGCATGAGGGTCGAGCTGGCTATCCAAGTAGAGTACGGGGAGTCTGTTAGCCGAAGGTAAACGGATCGCAGCGCCCATCCGATCAGGAGATCTATGGATGGAGGACCGCACAGATGGTACATATCCAAGCAGGCGGCGGCTGTGCGAACTAGGAGTAGTTCTGTGATCGTGGCATTTCTTTGGGAAAATAAGCATCCAAGGGCAGCGACTCCACATCGGACGCTATCGTATACGTCCGGTGTTAGGGGCGATTGCCAACGTGCGTCTAATCGCTCGAAGAAAAGGCGCCGATCGATAAACCCGTAGCAGGGATTCACCTTATCGAAATAAACCTGGGCCAGGGCTTTCATGTGTTCAAGCGAGGTGATCTCAATAATTGGCAATGCGGACGGTGGAAGGATTTGAGCCGAGAGTTGCCGAGCTCCAATATTCCATCCAAACAGGTTGAGCTTCGGTGCCTTCGCTGGGTCAATCTTTAGACCAAGTTTCCTTACGAAGGCCGCGCCGGAATTGGCCTCTAGGCGACGAACTAGGTCTAAATGATCTGATTCAACAGTGCTTGGCCCTGTAACAGTTTGTGGAGATGATTGAGGCTCGGGCTCGGCATCTGGTGTGGGCTGCTTGGTAGTTCGAGACTTCCTTCGTCGAGCATCATAGGAGCACTCGTAGCCCCATTCAGTGCAAGTGACACAGGGGTCAGCCCCGTCACATCTCCTTTTTCGCTCCCGACAAGGCTTGCAGGCCAAACGGGAGCGTTTTCGTTTCAGGTTCTGCATTTTGTCGTGACGTTTGTGATGATGGGAGAGGGTGAAGTGTGGGAAATGCGGATCTTGCGGGATTGCGGGGAACAACCAGAAGAATTTTTGGACCTTCTTTTTCTCAACTGATTCTTGATTGGCAGTAGAAAAATAATAGAGAGAATTGAACTCTCTTCCTGTAGGGCCTTTTTTTGCCTCCTGGATATATTATGAATATATGAATGATTTCAAATATCCGACCGTGATAGCGGCTGTTGCGGAATGATCGACGTAGTTGTGAAGCTTAATACGACTTCTTCGCAAAGCCTTGGTCTATTCTCTCGTCCGAACCGCCGCATATGATGGGAAGGCTTAAAAATCAAACCAAACCCTTCTATTCKGCCGACAAATAAAGTTCAGTCCCAAACAACACCACCAGGCTCACCATGGCTGCGAAACTATTGTCACGCTATCCGTGGGCATCCAGCCCGTTTGTGATCGCCGCCCCGATGCGTGTTATGTCTGGCCCAGCACTGGCTGTAGCTGTCTCTCATTCTCTAGTGCCGGTGGCCTTGGGTTCATCGGCCCCAGTATCAAAACCCAGGACATGGGTGTGTTGACCTAGAAGAAGCATCAACTTTAGTCCACAAAACGCGTGTCTCCACGCCTGTGTTCAACACGTTGCCGTCCACAAATTCGCATCTATATCTAGTGTGTTCTTCTTCTTTATATGCCTGGGGACCTTGCGCTCAGCAGAGAATACTTAAGAAACTAGTATCTATATTAGCCTTGCACCTGTAGCGGCCAAGAAAGCTAGCATACTTATTACATCTGTTTATAGATTTTGTTATTCAGGTAACACTGTGCAAATAGGCCAAAGTATCAGCAAAGGTGTTGCCAGTATTTATTATATAACTAAAGATATTTCTCTTGTGAGGTCCCGTACATCTAATTAAAGAAATTCATAATAAATTGCTTGTCCTTTGAGAGTAGATACTCCACATAGCCCTCTTTTAAATGGATGCAATATCTGTTAGTGGTATATTAAGAATGTATGATCTCTGCAGTATCATTTAACCACTGCAAGACCCTCCGGCATCTTGGGCTTAAAATTTAAGGGGAGCTATCCCAGGGTGCAGAAATACTCAAGCCTGGCTTGAGTTTCCTCTCAGAGGATTGGATTGGTCCAGTACCATATAAAGAAGAAGAGCACACTAGGATCATCCTCCTCAGCATCACTGATAGGCAATGCCGTCTTCAGTCCAAGATCCTCCGCTGATGATTCCCATCAATTGGATTCACATTAATTGTTCGAGAGAAACTCTTGAGTGCCGCCTTTACTCGCAGAAAGAAAGATTGCATCCAAAAACTGATGCAGTCTGACAGCGTCATCGAAAGTAGGAACAGTCTTCCCATCAGCAAAATTCTCGTAAAGCCTTCCAACGTTCTGGGCAGCCAACGGAAGGTCCAGATGCTGGTGCAGCTTTGCAACTTCGATACGGTTGGACTCATAATCCTTGACTCGAATCTTGAAATCGGTTGCGCCAAGATTCAACATGATAGAGCTTCCATTGAGCCGAATCTGGCCTTTGTCGCCAATAATGTCCCAAACCAGGCCCTCACCATCATCAAAAGCTTCTCCGCCACGTATGTTATACGCGTACTTGACACCTGATGCGAGAGTGCCCTGTAAAGAGGCATAGTCGTCTGCAGTTTTCTTAACACCGCTCGCAAGGAGTTTGTTGTCGGCTGAGAATACGTCCACGATAGGCCATGTCGTCTTCAACTGGGCAGACACTTCAGTCGGCTGGCCCAGAAGACGAATCAGAGGCTCAAGAGTATGCCCGATGTAGATGCTCAACATGACCTGGCCTGTAACGCCTTCGATATCACGGTCCTTAAAGTATTGATAACGCTCTGCAAGACGTGTTCCTGTCTCTCCGGTGCCTGCGCTGCCCGAGATATGAGTAACCAACGGGGTGCCAATCTTGCCACTCTTGATAATGTCTTCCAGAGTGGTCAGCACGTGCGAAACACAGCCTTGGAGACCAATGATAGTCCGAACACCCTTTTTCTTAGCCAGCTGTTGGATTTCTTCGGCCTCCTTCGTCGTAGCACACAGTGGCCATTCAACGTAAACATCCTTGCCAGCTTCGATTGCAGGTTTGATGAGCTCATAGTGCGAGAAAACCGCAACAGCACAGACCACCAGATCAACTTTCTGTGAGGTACACATCGTTGTGACGTCGCTGAAAGCGTCGGCAGAATCAAGACCGTACTTCTCAATGGCCTTTCTGCTGGTATCGGTAGACGAGTTGCAAACAGCAGTTATTGTATATTTATCGGACTGCTGCAGATAGGGTAGGTGGGCTGTGGCAGCCCAACCGCCCCCAGCGGACAAGCCAACGATGCCGACGTTGATAGTCATTATGTCTTCTTTTCTTCAAGTTTGACAATGAACCCGCAAGTAGCGAAGGCTTGGGCGAAAATGGAAAAGGTGAAAAGGTTGAAGAGACTGAAAAGATCGAAAGAGAGAGAGAGAGGGAGAGAGAGAGAGGCTTTGGGGAGTGATCGAGCGTTTGGGGGAGAGATTCATATACCGAATTGACGATATACTTCATAGTCTTTCACCTACGTCATGTTTAATTTCTTCTCCACACAATTTAACGAATTTCTCCTCCACAGCCTCTTCTCCACTCATTGGCAGTCTGATTTGTGAGGCAGCGTGCCGTTGGAGAAGAAATAAAACATTTTTACTCCACATTGTTGTACGAAAAGTCTGCTGATTTTCAATTTGTCAATCAAAAACCGCTGGACATTGTGCTGCAAAAACATTCTCTGGTCCTGGAATGTGATGTGCCATCAATTGGCCTTCGGCATTATCCGAGATCTAGCAGTTGCTGATACAGCCCAATAGGTCTGCTCGTCAGGCCACAAAATTAAAACCGTGTGCTGTCAGAATAACTCCATTCATTTGGAGAATTAAATCTGATGATGTAATCGGAGTGCGGTGGAAATAGTCTGCGACATTGTGTGCTAGACGTCCAGGAATTGCAGAAGTGGTGGCTGAATATGGTGAAATGACCACCGAATAGTATATAAAGTGCTTTCCATGTACCATGTTCAATCTGCTGTCAAGTAATTTCACTGCACAATTCTCATTTCTACTCATTGACTAAATGTATGTCTGCCTGACACCCTAGCCATGATTTCTTTTCCAGGAGCTCTGTATACTAATTATGAACCAGTTCTTTTCATCACCATGGCGCCAAATATTAAGACCATCCCTACCTCCGAATATCAGGTGGTTAAGAAAACCGTACAGCGATATGTTGAGGGCGCCAAAGCCGGCAGCCCCAGCAGAACCGTAGAGCCGTTCCACCGCGATGCCACCATGTACGGATACTACAAAGGCGAATTGACCGCCGGCCCGATAAAGAACCTGTACAACTATATTGAAAAGTTCGGTTCATCGCCTGATATGAATACGCATCTAGACGTGTTAGCCATCACCCCAACTACTGCTGTTGTGAAAGTGGAAATGGAGGGCGAGGCCACCGGCACACCATATACAGACTTTCACACGTTGATCAAGTTAGATGGTATCTGGACTATTATCGCAAAGGTCTTCCACGCTTATGATGTGTAGATTAGTCTCAATGGCAGGTATTCATAATAAGATCAACTAGCGACCCTTGCACCAAAGAACGGCTCAATGTAAGATTAATGTTTTGTTTTTTGCTCCAGTAGGCCAGATTCCCAGACGTGTATCTCCACTAATGTGGGTCAAATGGAGTGAATCAGAGGTGGAGGTCGGTAATCATGTTTGATAATGTTGGTAGGGATGGAAAGGTACTATCTGCTGAGGGGGCCGAGAAGGATGATTAGGTGAAGGGAACGATGGAGTGCAAGTTAGGGAAGTTGAGGCGATAGTAATTCAGATGGTGAGGGCGAAAAAGCATTTCAAGGCCGCAACTAAGGGTGTTTATAAGAATAGTAAAGAAGAGAAGAGCACTGCGCTGGAAGAGGGTACTTGTGTTAGCCTTGAGGTTGTAGAATATGCTGGTGATACTGGGCTGTACTTTCTGTCTTGAATAATCCACCAACAACAATGGTTTTCTATATCATTTTCCATAATGATAACTCATCGCTATTGGGAAAACATACCGAATGATCTGACCATATTTGGAACCGTCATTTTAGGAAACCATCTGTGATTTTAAGTGGCTTTGCGGTATAGCTCTTGTCCCGCCAGATTATCTCTTAAGTTCTTATCTGTTATCTCCCCTCTACTCTATGTCATAACCCTAGATGTGGCCTGACCGACTGTAACTATGATGATAATCTAAAAGGTGGTGTTGTTACTACTACTACTACTGTGACTAGTTTCCTGCAGGAAATCACTATTGTTGCTCTCCCTGGCAAGGCCTCGCTGTGTGCTCCTTCCTTGTCGGTTCCATGTGAACTTGTTTGGCATGGTTCTACTCATGGCTACAGGATTGCTTATGGCTAAATATGCGAATCTTATTCTTTGAATTCCCTTTGACCTGCACAAGTTGTTTTCTGATAATATTGGGCGGAGAATCAGTATATCTAATTCCAAGGAAGATATCGCAACAGAAGAGCAAGCAGGACCTATGAAATATGTATGACCTAAAAAAAGAGAAAAAATAAGACAACTATAATAACAACGCTCACTCAGTCTTAGGAACTGGCTTCTTGACTCTTGGAACACGAACCCACCAGTACAAAAAACAAGCTGCAAAGATATTAAAACCAATAAATACCCACATCAGCCCAAAATTCCTCCAGATATCCGAGTAACTCGACGAAACACTACCAAGGAACACATTCGTCTCCTTGATCGGGCAGAAGCTGCAGTTCGAAGTCGCCATTTCGTCTTCAAGATACCCACCCATATTCGACATGTATGAATCCATGTACTGGCCGCAGGTCCCATTAACTGGGTCAAAGCGCAGATACTCATTGTCTGCGCAGGTTACGTTCGTATTCGATATGCCCACAGACAACATCCCGCTGACCAGGTAAGTAAACGGCGAAACGCGATACATGAAGATCCAGAACCCGGGGAGCTGATCTGGTGTTGCCAGAACACCGCAGAAAAGCAGACAAAGCAGGAAGAGTAAGTTTCCCAGGTTGCCAGCGTTCTCGGCGGCGTCGAACGCCGCGATCATAAAATGTGCAAAGGTGGACGAGAAGAGAAGGAAGGTCCAGACCATCAGCCACATTTGTGTGCCCCGCAAGTTCACTGCATCTGTTGGTTCGGCGTTGCGGTAAAGACCAATCGGATAGTACCAGCACAGGAACATAAGGACGGACATGAGCGAGTTCCAGGGGAGTTCAACCACGATGTTGGAGATGATGAAGGCTTTCCAGGAGTAGGTCTTTGCGGGTCGTTCGCGGACTTCGTATAGCGCGCGCTGGGCGACGAAATGCGGCATGATTTGTTGGATGAGTTGGCCGAAGAGGGTAAGGAGCATGAAGATGCCGAACATTTGATTCTGGAGGCCTTGGATTGTGTTGGGTGTGTGGAAGAGGGAGAAGCCGACGAAGAGAGCGGATAACACGCAGAGCGCGGTCTTGGAGTAGATGTAGGTGGGTGACCGCCAGATTTGCTGGAAGACTCGTACTTGGACTTCGCAGAGCTGGGCCCAGAAGGGAGCAGCGAATTCGCGGTAGCTGGCTTTGTCTTCTCGCTTTTGACTGGATGTGGTGCGGAACAGGTCGGCTTGGTGGGGACGTTCGTGTTTCAGTTCAGCAAGGTGCTCTTGGACTCGTGCATATTCGGGGGATTTACGCCAGGTCTCGAACCAGTTGATGTTGGTGTGAGATCCAGGAGCGGCACCGATCACGTCGAGCATCCATTCGGCGGGATTGGCGGCTGGAGGACACGGAGGGCCACCGTTGCGGACGAAGTAGTCAATCAGTATTTGCGAGTTCCGACCTACTTCTCCAAAGTAGACGGTGCGACCACCAGCTTGAAGGAAGAGGAGACGATCAAAGCGCTGGAACAGCATGGCCGATGGTTGATGGATGGTACACACTGGGAACACGTTAATGACAGCTATAAATGCACGAGCAGACACTTACAAATAGCCTGGCCGTTCTTCTTCAGTTTATCAAGGAGATCAAGGATAGCCCAGGATGTCTGGGAATCAAGTCCTGAGGTCGGTTCGTCCAGGAAAAGGCTGTCCACGCAACGCGCCTATCCCGAACGGGGACAGACGCAAGGCACTTAGTCAGTAATTTTCTGAGGCCACAGTAATTTGCCCGAGGTCACAGCTTACAGAAGTTGCGGCCTGGCCGCAAGCTCTACCCCAATTGTGAGACGTTTACGTTGCTCAACATTGAGGCCTTCACCAGGGACACCAATAACAGCATCAGCGTACTCAGTCATGTCAAGAAGCTTAATCACTTCTGTCACGTAGTCAATCTTCTCTTGACGAGGAACGTGAGCGGACTGACGTAGAAGAGCAGAGAATTCAAGTGCCTCGCGCACTGTAGCAGTACTCAAATGCAGATCTTGTTGCTGAGCGTAGCCGGTCTTACGCTGGAAGGAGTCATCACGCGGTTGACCATCGACGAGCATTTCTCCACTGATAATCCCCATAGTGGTGCGCGTAGCCAGGACATCCAAGAGCGTGGTCTTTCCAGCACCGGAAACACCCATAAGCGCCGTCAAGGTTCCCGGTTTGACCCATCCGTCAACGTGGTCAAGAATCCTGCGATTCTCCTTTCCAATCTTGATATCAAAGCAGACATCCTTCCACTGGAAGATCGCGGTCTGGCGTTCAATCATGGCAAGGCCATCTGAGCCGGTCTTCTCCACTGTGACGCTGCGGCCACTACCCCCTTCAAGATCTTCATCTGACTTGTCCTTCTTCAGAGCTTTGTGTCCGCGAGGAAATACTAGGATCTCGCCCTTCGGCTTCTTCTCAGTGATGAAGTCAGTAGCAACGAGATAGACGGCCCCAAGCAGGAACATGTAGGCGAATATGACACCGATGTTTCTCCATTTGTGCGAGGCGACATAGCTATATGCTGACTCAATGTAGGCATCGCCATTGACAAAGGGTTGTCCAGGCACTGATCCGACGGTGGAGCAAACACGGTTGTTAAGCCCGAGATCCGTATAGCCGGGACCCGATGGGACATAGTTCATGCACGGGAAGTCGCGGTTGTGGAACTCATTGATCAGTAGGGACTCAAAGCCATAGCTGATAGGATTGATGTAGGCAATCCAGCGAGCCCATCCAAGCATATACCCAGTTGGGATAGCGAACCCAGTATACATGCTGAGACCGAGAAGTAGAACGGCGGAGAAGGGCAGAGCTTGGACAAGGGATCTTGAGAGCGATGCCATAGACCGGAAGAACATGGACATGGTCAGAGTCAGGACGAACGAGGTGAAGACAAAGAAGAAGAAAGCACCGGGTTCTCTCCTTAAGTTGGTCATGAAGTACAGAACTATATTAGATGTAATAGCGTTGAGAATCTTGTAGGGCAAATCCATTATCATGGATGAAAACGCTTCAGCAGATGGGTGGTAGAGAGCGTATCGGGAGTGCTTCTCTATGATCCCTCGTTGCGCGTATAAAGTCAGCATTTCAAGGCCGCAGCCAAGGGCGTTCATAAGAACAGCAAAGAAGAGAAGAGCACCGCGCTGGAAGAAGGTACTTGTGTCAGCCTTGAGGTTGTAGAATATGCTGGCGATAACAAGGGATATGATAGTATTTCCGAATAAAGAAGAGATTGTGACGCTGGGGTCAGCCTTCAATCGTTGATACCCGCGCCACAGGCAGAGTTTCACCTGTTGTACATAGGAAAGAGTGTAGGGTGACGATACCCGCTGAGCCTTGGCTTGCTGAGCCCGTCGAGATTGCTTTAACTTATCCAGGTATTCACCACCCAGTGCGAACTTTGCATTATACCTTTTGATGTCTTGCATGAGCTGTGCTCGCTGTGGTGAGGCCTTCCATCGTGCAGCGAACTCATCAGGTGTTCGAGGTACGCGGCCTTCATAACCTGGCTGAACAACACGCTCAAGGTGGCTAGTCATAGAGGTGAGAAAGTCAGCATCAGTTTGTCGGTCAGGACAGACGAAGCCCATATCAAGGAAGTACTGCTTCGCCATGGATGTGCGACCAAAGTAGATCTCGCGACCTTCGTATAGAACCAGGGCCTTATCGAAATAGTTGTAAGCGGCCTGAGGAGCTTGATATAGAGAGACACAGGCTGTGGCGCCATTAATATCTGCCTGCAGGCGCAACGTTTTGCAGAACTCAGTGGCATTCGCACTATCAAGACCACGAGTAGAATTGTCCCAACATTGCAGCGGTGCATTGCTGAGGCAAGCTTCAGCGATACTAACCCGCTTGCGCTCTCCACCAGACACACCGCGAATGAAGTCGTTTCCTACAATTGTGTTCTTCGTATGGCTAATACCAAACATGGCCATGATCACATCTCGCATGTGGCTGGCATACTGGGTCGCGTTCACCCCCCCAGGAATGTGTCGTGGTGCTCGGGCGCGCGCAGCGAAATAAAGGGTATCTCCAACAGTGAGCTTGGGGAAGTGGACATCGACCTCCGCGGTGTAGATGGCTTCTCCTCTGAACTCATGCGCCA